GCGGCTGGAGGGGCACCGGGGCACAAGCCATCACAGCAGGGGGGGCACCGGTGTGGGGACTGAGCAGCGCTGGGGCAGGTGCCCTGTTAGGTTTCATTGGGCCGGCACGTGCACGGAGCAGACAGGCCCCCTGCCCACGGGGCGATGCCCTGAGGGAGCAGCCAGTGGATCCCAGGCCTCCCAGCTCGGGGCACAGGCCCCCATCCTCAGGTGCGGGCATGTCCTGGAGCGGTCTGCGGGGGCTGCTCCCCCCTTCAGACGGGCGCCCGTCAGCCTGGCCGCTGGCCCTTCAGGCAGGGGTGGTTCTCCATGGCTGCGATTTGGGAGACCGTCCCCGCCATGCCCCTCAGTCATGGTCTCAGCTCTATTGATTTCCCTTGCAGCTGCAGAAGATGACAGCGCTGACGATAGCGGGTGAGTCCCAGGACAGGTGGAGCCGCAGGGAGCCCGGGCACGGCTGGGACGGGGACTCTTGGACACGGCCGCTCAGTGACCACCGCCTCAGCCCAGCCCCTCGGGCTCTGCCAGGAGCTGGTGGAGGGGCAGGCTGGGAGAGAGCTGGGCTTGAGAGCAGCCCTCTGCCCCGCTGAGCTAGGGGGCAAGAGCAGCTATTCCCATAGGGAAAGGGCCGTGGCAGCCACGACCCCTGGCCGGGGTTGGGGTAGGAGTCGGGGCTGGAGGGGCACAGCTGGCAGCGCCGGGGGGTGGTTGTGACCTGCCGTGTCCTTGGCTGCGCAGACTCCAGCCCGGCCCCCGGCGCGCGGGCCCCTCTTTCCCCCGCTGGGGGCCCCGGAGGTCTCGGACCCTGCCGGCCCCCCCACCGGCCCCTTCGTCCCGGAGATGCCCCCGCCCGAGCCCGCCGGCGCCATCCTGTGCCCGGGGAGCCTGGAGAACTTGCCCCCCGGGAACGAGCCGCTGCAGCCCATGGAACAGTTCATCCCCGACCTGCTCATCAGCCCGCACATGCTGCCACGTAAGGACCCCCCGCCCCGCTTTTGTGCTGTGCTACTGCGCCGCGGGGGTCTCCTGCCTGCCGCTGGGCTCAGCCCACAAGCTCCCCGAGCCCCCGGCTGCCCCTGTACAGCACCTAGCACTGGAGGCCCAGATCCTTGTGTGCAGCGGGTGGGTGGGGGGAGCACTGGTCTAAGCGGGGGTCTTGGTTCCCTTGTCTGACGGGCTCCTCTTACCCCCCGTCCTCGCAGTGACGGACCTGGAGATCAAGTTCCAGTACCGGGGCCGGCCGGTGTGGTCCCTGACCATCAGCAACCCGCACGGCTGCCGCCTCTTCTACAGCAACCTGGAGCCCACGCAGGAGCAGGTGGAGCTGTTCGGGCCGGTGACGCTGGAGCAGGTGCGTTTCCCCAACACCGACCACATCCCCAACGAGAAGCAGCGCTTCTACACCCACCAGCTGCTGGACGTCCTGGACCGGGGCCTCATCCTGGAGCTGCAGGGCCAGGACATCTACGCCATCCGGCTCTGCCAGTGCAAGGTCTTCTGGACGGGGCCTTGCGCTGCCGAGGGCACCGGCCCCAACCCCATCGAGCGCGAGAAGAAGACCAAGCTCTTCAGCCTGGAGAACTTCCTCAACGGTGAGTGGGACCTGCCCTCCGCTCCCACCCTTCTCCCCGTGGCACCTGGCTGCTCTCGGTCCAGGGGGGTGGGCTCACCCTGCTAGCATTGGCTCCCTGCCCCTCACATCCGTGTCTCTGGGCCCCCCCAGGCCTCATCCTGTTCCAGAAGGGGCAGACGCCCACGCCGCCCCCCTTCGAAATCTTCTTCTGCTTCGGCGAGGAGTGGCCCGACCAGAAGCCCAAGGAGAAGAAGCTCATCACTGTCCAGGTGAGGGGTGGGGGGTGCAGGCGGGCTCCCACCCCAGTGCTGAGGCTGGGCCGAATGGTCCTAGCCCTGCCGTACCCCCAGACCTCCATTTCTGTTCCCCACCGAGCTCCGGCTGGCCGCACCATCACCTCCCCAGCCGGCTTTACACTGTAGCTCGAAGCTGCACACGGAGAGGACCCAGTGCCCCCATCCTCCCTGGGGGGCTGCATCTGCTTGCCCCAGCCTAGGCCCGCGGGGTACTAGCAATAGCCCCGGCCCTGGGAACGGGGGTGTCGTGAGAGCTGGGGTCACATCCAGGGCTCTCCAGCCATGAGGCCACAGCGTCAGGCTACGGAGGGCAGCTCCGACCTGCTGCCTCAGCCCTGCAGCCTCCCGCCAGGAGCAGAGGACTGGCTGGGGCAGTCTAGGCTCTGGGGAGTATCCCCCAATGCTGAGACCAGCAGAGCAGCTCACGCCTCCTCTCTGTCCTCCCCACCCAGGTGGTGCCAGTGGCCGCGCGGCTCCTGCTGGAGATGTTTTCCGGGGAGCTGTCTTGGTCGGCCGACAGCATCCGCCTGCAGATCTCGCACCCGGACCTCAAGGACAAGATGGTGGAGCAGTTCAAGGAGCTGCACCAGATCTGGCAGAATCAACAGGGCCTGCAGGGGCCCCCGGCAGCCCACGCCGGGCCCAGCCTGGAGCCGGGCGCGGGCGTGTGGCCCATGCAGCAGTGATTGAGCGGGCACAGCCCAGGAGTGTCCTGCTGGGCGAGCCAGACACAGCACGAGACGCTGCTTTGCTGGCCATGGGGCTGGCCAGCTCCGGACTGCGAAGGGGGCAGCGGCTGGGGGCCCCGGGACTGGGTCCTGCCCCGTCTCCAACCCCTGGGGAGCAGTCGGAGGTTGCATGGCCCCGGAAGCATCTCCGTGCCGAGCTTTGCGGTGGCGATTTCCAAGGCAGGGCCTGGGCCAGAGCCCAGGGGAGCCACAGCCCGTCCTCAATCCAAGGTTCCTGCCACATGCAGCGCGGAGCAGGAGAGATGGGCGCAGCTTACGTCGAAAACACTGCACCCGGCTACAGCCCAGCCCAGGTTCTCGGTTGGCTGGGCAGGCGGATGCACCTGCGGCACCGGGCCAGGCTCCTGCTGGCCGGGGGGTGGGGGACAGACTTTGGGGATGTGTGGGGCTCTCCAGTGGCTTCCTGGCAGACTAGCCCTGCTGGGCCGGGTGCTGTGTTGGGCACAGGAGTTGCTGATGCCATCTCCAGGGGCGGTGATAATAAAGCAACCCCTTGTGTACATGGATGAGCGTGTGCGGCTGTCACTACGGCTGGGCGCAGGTGAGAGCAGAATGGGCAGTGTGTGTCCAAGTGCCAGCTTCTTCCTGCACTGATATATGACTTGCACGACAGGCCAGGCCCCGGCACCGAGCCTATGCAGCTCCGGGAGCCTCGTCCCCTTGTGCTCCTACTGCCCCACTCCCCGCAGCCTGGCCTTTCTGACAGCGGGTCGAGTTTCTCCTGCAGCCTGGGCCTCCTGGCAGGGAACACCCGTACCCTGCCCCACCGCCTTCGGGCGAGAACAGAGGAGTTCAGAAGATGCTTTCTGAGAAAGGGTCACCGGAAGCAGACGTGCATTGGCCCATGTCGGCGTAGCCATCTGAGGGCCCTCGGGAGCCAGAAGCAGAGGTGCTGACTCAGAGCAGTCATCAGAGCTTGGATCTTCCCCTTCTGCACCAAGAGACCAGAGCAACTGCAAGTTCACGTAGAAGCTGCAACTCATGCCCAAGCTGTAGCAACCCTGCCCCATCCGAGCACCTGCGCTGTTGGGTGCTCAGCTACGGGAACTCCCACTACAACCACCTCCAAGGGCTGCCATGCTGGCTGCAGCCCCGGAACACGGGAAGGTCAACAGGACAGTTCTTGCACCATTTAAAGGGTTTTAGCAGCTTCCACGTTGCCTCTCACCCATGCAAGCTGTCTTCTCTGGGCTTGCAAAAGTCCTCATTCAGGCAGAACCAGTGTGCCCTGGTTGCCAAGGTGGCAAATGGCATCCTGGGCTGCATTGGTAGGAGCGTTGCCAGCAGATCGAGGGCACGGATTCTCCCCCTCTATTCAGCACTGGGGAGGCCACATCTGGAGTCCGGCGTCCAGCTGTGGGCCCCCACTACAGAAAGGATGTGGACACATTGGAGAGAGTCCAGTGGAGGGCAACGAAAATGGTTCAGGGGACGTGATTTATGAGGAGAGGCTGAGGGAACTGGGTTTATTTAGGCTGGAGAAGCAAAGACTGAGAGGGAATTTAATAGCAGTTTTCAGCTCCCTGTGGGGGGGGGGTCTGAAGAGGATGGAGCTGGGCTGTTCTTAGGACAAGTTGCAGCAAGGAAGGTTTAGGCTGGATATGAGGAAATCTCTCTCATAAGGAGGGTAGTAAAGCACCGGGACAGGCTCCCCAGAGAGGGTGCAGTCTCCGCCCTTGGAGGTGTTAGAGACCCCACTAGACAAAGCCTTGGCCGGGATGATGCAGTTGGGGCTGGTCCTGCTTGGAGCAGCAGGTTGCACTAGATGTGACCTCCTGAGCTCCCTTCATAGAAAATGAGTGTTGAATCTAACCACAGGCTTGATGCCCCCATGAGGCAGGTCCTTGGAGGGTGGGGCGAGCATGAGTAAGACTGAGAGCTGGCACTTGCGTACCAATCCAGGAGGACTTCACTAAAAAGGATGGGACTTCAGCTCCGCTTGGGAACAAAGCAGGGTTCGGACAGAGCTGGTATTTGGTAGGGAAACAACTGCCGCGTGGCCGAGCCCAGCGGCAATCCCATTTCAGCAGCTCGAAACCTTTCACTCCAACTGAGTCCCGAATTCCCTTTCCCGTCGCCCCCACCTTCGTGCTGCCTCTTGTGCTTTACACACCGGATGCATCATCCCTGGGCTTGGGCTGGCCCAGGCGTGGCGTTCACCTCCCGCCCAGGCCGTTGCCCACGCAGCGGGGAACGGTTCGAGTTTCTTCGGCTAGCAGGGAAGGCCCAAATCCACAGCAAACCCGCCCCAAGTGTTGAACTCACTTCCCACGCAGGGAGTCTCAGGGCTGTTACTGGAGGAAGGGGAAAGCGCTCAAATTGCCAGCAGCCTCCAGCTTTTAGCCCCCAAGGCAATACCCTTCTAGAGACGTGGGGCTGGAAGGGAGGTCACATCCAGTCCAACCCCCTGCCCGAGGCAGGATCAGCCCTGTCCAAATCATCCCGGACAAACCCATTGCCCCTCTGAGCAACACGACAGTCACCCCTGACACAGCACAAGAGCTCACACCCAAATCTGCCACGTGTAAAGCAGGAGAGCCGCAGCAGCCAGCGTCCTCCTGCTGCAAAGGTGCACAGCTTCTACTTGGGATCTCTGGAGCAAGTAGAGGCCATGCTCTGCAAGGGGAAGGTAAACCCCGCTTCAAATCCCTATGACCATGGGGTAAAATCCCTTCTTGTCCACCAAATGCAGCATCAGTCTGACCCCGAACAGAGGGGCAAGACCCTCTAGCCAGGACTCTGGGTTGAGTTCAAGCAGGAGCATTGGCACAGCCCAGAAGCCTGGGAAATACCCTTTGCAAACCGGTCGGGGAGGTGGGAGGTCCAAGGGCTGCCAAGCAGAGTCTTGTGTTTGGATAGTCTTCAGCTGTGGCCCGGTCACCAGGGATCAAGACCTCGGCCGCAGCGGCAGGCGGCTCCGTCAGCAGCGCGGAGATCTTGAGATCCCCGCGGGGTCTGCTACTCACTACTGCTCACGCCGCCTCGGCTGGACGGAGCCGGGCATCGCAGGGAGATCTCGGCCAGGGCCACGCTGCCTGCGCGCAATGGGCTGGAAAGCACTGACCTGTCATTCATGCCCAAAGGCACCTGGCAGGGCAGTTCAGCAGCACCTTGACTTTGATCCTTTGTGCGTGCTTATTTACGAAGCCATTACAGAGCTCGGCCGTTCACGCCGACCTCCGCAAGCATGAAGTGGGAAGCGCTTGCCATCCAATGAAGGAACCGCTGACTAGGGTCACGCAGGCTTGCCTCGAGCCAAGCGGGCAGGTGGAAGCCAGAGGCCGCCCCAGCTAATGCTCACAGAAGCTGATCCTTTCCTTTCTGCTGGCAGCCGGATGTTCAGAGACAAGGGGTCTACGTTTCAGGGCAGACGGAGCCCGTTGGGAAGAGGGAGGCAGGGCCATCCCCCTTACAGCGATCTGCAGTAAGAAAGTGATGCTTTCCTTGCTGACAGCCAGGGTTTTTATCATTGCAATGTGAAACGATGATCCCAACACCTTACTGCAGCCATTCTCAGCTTTTCTAGGCTCAAGGCCTCCCCCTGGAAAACACCAGCTTAGTTTTCACTCACTTTTTTGGACTACAGAAAAAAAAAATAATACAGCCAATTTTATGTGGCCAATTCTGAAAGACCTCAGCAGGTCAGAGTCTGGTTAACGCCCTGTGAAGTCCTGTTGGAAATCTCTGGGTTTAACCTTGTGGACCACGCTGGCACACGTGACAAGGCTGGTATCGTGTGGCACTTCATAGCACCCTTGGACAGATCTAGGCACCCCAATATCTCAAGGGTGCCGAGGCAACCCAGTTTAGAATCACTGCCTCAATGGGACTTTGCATTTAAGAAAATCTTGGGCGCTTGTACACGTGACAGGGTTTAGTCTTCTATGCCAGGGGTTTTCAACCAGGGGTACGTGTACCCCTGGGGGTGCTTTGAAAGGGCTCAGGGGATACGCGGCAGCAGCGTGAAGAAGCCGCCGGCACTTCCAGTTTTGCCACTGGCATTTCTGGTTTTGCCGCCGCGAGCAGGATCCCCCCCCACCGGTCGACTGGCTACCAGGGGACTCCCTGCTTCTCAACCGGCCGCCAGGGGTACCCCGACCAAAAAAGGTTGAAAACCCCTGTTCTGTGCCCCCTAAATTGAAACGGTGGATTTTTAATTGAAACCCACCATTTCAATTTAGGGGTTTTATTTTCCTGTTACGTTACGGCAAGGGGCCCGATCCTTTTTTTTTTCGGGGGGGAGGCGAGCTTGCTTGCAGCCATGGGGCAAGCTGCCAGAGAGCTGAGCAGCCCCTGAGCTGCAGGGAGCCCCCCAGTCCTTCCCTCCACGGCGGTGCCTGCCCCGGGGAAGACTTGGATCTGATCTGGGTGTTGCTTCTGAGCTGGGGCAGCCCGGGGGACACTCCCGCTGCAGAGGGACGGACCACGGCCCCCGCAGCTCAGGGGCCACTCGGCTCGCCGGCCGGCAGCTTGCCCTCTGGCTGTGGGCAGGCGCCTGCTGAAGGCAGAAGCGGCAAGAGGCCTGATCCCCCTTTTTTCTGCGGAGCCTGCCCAGCTCTCCCACGGCCTGGGGCCGAGTTGACTAATAGCTGCAACAATGCAAGCTCATCTAAACCCCCCAAACGTGACGCACGTGTCACGTGTGGCACCATTAAGCCACACAAAGTGACATTTTTGGCACGTGTACAAGCGCCCCTTGTTCTTAACATAGGAGAGCCTCAAATGCAGGGAGGATGAGGGCAGGGGAAGGCGGAGGGAGCTGTGGCGGGTGCGTCAGGCAGTCATGGTCAGCTTGCCGACGTTGGTCATCTAGCGTGCTGTGGCACCAGGTGGAGGACACAGCCTTAGGGGGACCTTTTTGTTAAGAGAACCTTGTTCTAACTCAGAAGAGCCTTGAAAGCACGAAGGATTGTGGGGGGCGGCAGGCAGAGACAAACCGCAAACCCGGGCTTTGATTCGGTTTTTTAAACTTAGTTTTGTTTTTATTTGTTCTCGAGATGGCTACAACACCAGACGGAACAGCATGCGCTTGAGTCTTAACGCCTGCACAGTCTCAGATCTTGCCCATGGGAGATCCCCCCAGCCAGTCGTCTCCAAGCGTGTGTCCATAAAATCGTCAGCCCCATCACGGCACTCTCCTCTTCCCCGCCTCGTGGTAAAAAAAAACAAAACAAAACAAAACAAAAAAGAATAAAACAAAACAAAACAAAAAAAAGCCCTAAATAAAGCCATTTAAAATTTTTTAAAAAGCAAAACAAAAACAAACAAACAAAAAACTAAAAAAAAAAGGGAAAAAAAATAGAATATATATAGCAGTCTCTTCCAGGCTGAGTCTCCTCCAGCAGAGTGATGGCTCTTGGGTTTAGCCAGGGGCTTGTTGTTCGAGGATGGGGTGGGGTAGAAACTTCCACAGGTCCAGACGTGCGCTCCACAGGGGCGAATCACAGGATCCCCATGGCGGTCTCATGCCACACAGCAAAACCAACTCCTGGCCAATTCAGCTCCTTGCTGTCTGGTTGGAGGGAGATGGCAGGGCGGGGGGGTGGGGGGGGGGCGTGCCAGGGAAGCCACCCAGGGCATGCCCCCCTCCCGCGGCAGACAGTTGGTTTTGCCCGAGATCTGGAATCCCCACGTTCCCTCGCGTAATTTTTTTTTTTCATTTCACAGAAAGTTTTCTACTTTGTTTTGTGTTTTTTTTTGTTTTTTTTTTTTCCTTTTGCTGTCAGGCAAATTGGGTTTTTTCTTCCTGTTTCTTTTTTTTTTTTTAATTTTCTAAAATTTTTGTGTTTTTTTTTTGTTTTGTTTTGTTTTTTTGTTTTTATTCTCTTTGCTTTTTGTTGTTTTAGCCAGTCCCCTCGGGGAAGAAGCGCCCCCCCCACAGCGCCGGAGGTGGGGCTGCAGCCATCTTTAGTCGCGTCTGAGTTGCCCTCTCGCTCACAAGCAGGAACTTCACTTGGCTTGCTCTGGCGGCGAAGTGGCTCCCCGTGTTTGGCGGGATGCGCTAGAGCGAGTGAAAGCCCTCGGCCACAATGAAGTTTGCTGATTGTGGGACACGTTCTTGTTTGCGTTATTTCCTGTCTTCTAATCAAAAGACATTCCTGGAGGTGGGGAGGGAGGGGACACAAAAAGTGCCGTCAGTGTTTCTACGGCGCATGGAGCAACCCAGGCCAAGCCGAAAGCTCAGCGCCCCCGGCTCCTAGCACCACGGCAGGACATGGCCGAGACAATATGCCCGGTTTCGTGCACGTTCGGCCCGGCAATGTGGCGGTGACATTGTCCCGGGGGTGCCTGTCACACGCAACCTGGACTTCTGCTGTGTCCAGGAACGACAGCTGCCCCTGTCTCATAAGGTGCCCTCGTTCCCAGTATGGATACACAGAACGTGGGAATCTTATTGCCTCGGCAGTGACGTACTGCCAGTGTCGTGAGGCCCCAGTCTACCCAGTGACTGCTAAGAAACAGTAGTGGTGAAGGAGCTGGGGGCAGCGAGGCTGTGGCTGAGACTGGGAGCTGCCCCATAACCAAGAGGTGACACAAGCCTTCTTCACCTAACACCTTCAAGTGCAGGCGAAGGTCTCCAAGTGAAACCTGCGGCTGCCTGGATGCTAGCTGTGCCCATGCAATCTTCTCTTGGCCCAGCGAAGCCGCTTCAAGGGACAAGAGATTTTAGACCCCGGCCTACTGCTCAGACTGACACGGATCTTGTGCACACCATCCATGAGGAGCTGAACTGGACATATCCCACTCCGTTCCCATTAGTGTCACACCCATAACTGGCTTGTCACTGTGCAGGGGGGAGGAGGGGGTCAGGATATCAACCCATGGCCAGATCCTTTCAATCCGCCCCCCCCCAGTGCAAACCAGAGCACACGCAGCATCTGCTGATATTTACTTTACAGGTAGGGCTGCCAGGCTCTGGCCTGGGCTCCCAAGGGAGGTGGTGCTCTCTCCTACCGTGGGGACCTTCGAGAGGAGGCTGGACAAGTATTTGGCTGGGGTGATATGATCCTGGGGCAGGGGGTCGAACCTGATGATGTTCCCTTGCGACCCCCTAAGCGCTATGATACTATGAACAGCTACCAGGCGAGGCCTGTTGGCTTCTCTATCAGCACCAGGCCAAGCAAACGCCCAGAGTCAGGGCTGGCTCTCAGGTGGCCTCCAGAAGCCTGCCGTTCAGTGGGCTGGGATTGCTCCCTTTGATACGACGGCAGAGCGCAAACGTATCCAGGACGTGCACCCACTGCAGGGAGGAGACTAATGTCCACCAGCCATGCCTGGGTCTGCTGCAGGGCTCCACAGTGGGCATTCAAGGGTTAGCAACCTCATGCAATTGTTGACAGGCTCCCACCCATCTCCAGTGACGAGGGGGTTATGGCAGCACCAGGCTCAAAGCCACCTTCTCAGGAATCACTGTGATGGGGGATAGGCTCAAGCCAGAGCAGTGCTAATGGTACAGTGCCACGGCCTTCCTGGGGCTGGGGCACGAAAGGCATCTCACTCACCTGGGAGACAGGCTCAGTGCAGGAGTGCAAGCTATCGGAACAACCGGGTGAAGTCTCTCAGAGCCCAGCAGACCTGTTTACATTCCTCCGCGCTGAAAGACAAGGGGAGGCATTAAAGGGAAGCCTGGCAGCTAAGGGGGGTGGAAACATTACGGGACGCTGATCCCACTGACTCCTTCCTGGAGACGGTGCCGCCTCACCGCACCCACCCTCCCAGAGGGGAAGCCCATGCGCGAGCTGCTGATTTTCCAGTCCGGCAAGCTGCCACAGGTGCTAGGGCTGGGGCGGAGAGCGTTCCACACCCGTTTCAGCGGGGAAGGGCACCGGTGAACCTGCAACAGCCCCGAGTGGGCAGCGTGAGCTCTGGGGTGCGAGCCAGGAGCTCCGACGCCCCAGTGCGCTGCCGAGGGGGTGTCACCGCTCAGTGTCGTGGGCTCTGGTTCTGTGCAAGACTCGGCCTCTCTTGACTAACCTGTGCCTTGCCAAGACAGGCACTGAGCAAAGGGAACTGTGAATGTTTTCTCAGTGGCTTATGCGGCTAAGATGCCACCACCGCCTTGCTAACAAGCCTCAACCTGGAGCTGGGGGACTACCCTTCAGGGCAGGTTCAGTCGTCACGGCCCACTTGGGTCCTGGCATCCCCGCAGAGGCTGCCAAGGACGTGGGCACAGCCACATCTTGTATGTCCATGCAACCCTGAGTCACCCACGTCACGGAAGTCATAAAAATCGTAGAGCAGTGGGGCTGGAAGAGATGTCCAGGGGTCACACCTAGTGCAAACCCTTGCCCGAGGCAGGATCAGCTCTGTCCAAACCATCCCAGACAAATCCATAATCTAAACTCTTTGTAAAACTACCACCAACCCTGACACAACAGACATCAACCCGACCCAACCACAGTAAAGCAGGGGGACCACAGCAGCTGACATACTGCTTCTATTACAGCTTGTATAAGCTCAAAAGATCCCAAGCAGAGGTCGTGCCCCCCCTAGAGAGGAAGGCAAAACCCTACCAGTCCGTATCAATCTGACCATGGGGTACGATAACTTCCTGACCCTAACATGGTGATGAGTGTAACCCTGAGCAGAGGGGCAAGGCTCTCTAGCCAGGAACCTCCGGCTTCAATCCCCAGCAGGAGCACTGGCACACCAGCGAAAATCCCCAGCCTCGGCTGCAGCCAACACCCAATGCTTATGGGAAGCTTAAAAACAGCATGTCATGTGGAACAGAAAGGGGGGGTGGGAGGCAACCAGCAAAGCCACGCCTGGGAAATCCCCGTAGCAGAACACAGGCATCACTACACCCAGATCATCCCCGACCAGTGGCTGCCCAACCTCAATCTCAGTCGCCACTGGGCCCGCTCGCAACTGCCTGGCAGGGGAGGCTTTGGCTAGTCCCGACCCAGACCGGGCCAGAAGTCGAAGGGGTGACTCAGAGGGGACGCTGCCGAGTTCGGGAAGCAGGAAGTTCAGCCGGGTTTCCAGGTTAAGGCCACACGAGGTGAGAACTGCATGCCGAGGCGTGAAGAGGCTGGGGAGCTTTGCAGCTGAGTCCCGAGGGGCAGGCCGGGACTCGCCGAGCTGGTCTAGCGCTGCCACCAGGAGCGGCGGGACTCTCCGCGGCAAGTCTGGGCACAGCCGTGGGGCTGTGCAAGCAGGGGCTGCTGAGTCATGGGGCACAGCAGACCGGGGCGAGGGTTGAAAAGCCATGTGCCGACATGCAACGGCCGATTAAACTGGAGGGGAAGGAGCCTCCAAACGCTTCCTGCTTGGGATCGGGGCAGCCAGTCACCAGAACCCCTGGGGCTCCGCGCCTCTGGGACTCGTGCGAGAGAAAAAAAACCTGTTGTTCGGGGATGGTTCAGGAAGGGGAAATCCAGCCCCCATACCCGAGTGCCAGCTTTCTGTAATCCTGGTCTCAGAGAGCAGCCTTGGCTTGAGCCGGGGTTTACTGAGCTCAGAAATGCACTCTTCCCCTTGGAAAACCAACCAAGGGGAAACTGAGGCACACAGGTCAAAGTCGCTCCAAAAACCCTTGTCGGGGTTAACCATTACAATCCTGGTCTCCAGTGGCTGAACCACAAAAACTCCTTTCCGCCAAAAGACAGGATCTCAGACACTTGAAATCAAAAGGTTACTGGGGTGCGGAGGCTGCGTTTCCAAATCATGACAGTACCTGTTTAGCAACACTTTGTCTTCAAGTCTCAAGGAGCCAGAAAGCTTTATACCGCATAAGCCAAACGTGCAGTCACAGAACAGCTGTCACTGCAGGGGAGGGCATGAGAGAATGAGCCACCTCCTTCTGTTTAAGGCAGGCAGCAGCGAGCACTAAGATCTCCTCTGCAGCGCCAGCAATCAGGGTGCAAACTGAGCTTGGTATCTGGGCAGGACCCCAGAGCCGACGCACTGAACTAAAGCTCAACAGCAGGGAGAGTCGGGGAGGCCCGTCTCTTGGAGTACTGTCGGAACAGGACAATCGAGGCAGGACTGCTTGATGAGCACAGGCTGGAAGAACTGAGATTCGGTGTAAGGAGAAGGCCGAGGAGGGATTTGCTAACAAAAGGATGACAACAGACTATGTTCCGTGTCCGCGGGGGCCAGGACTAGAGTAACGGTCTGAAATTGCAGAGGGGAAACTGAGGTTGGAGATCGGGGAGAACGCTCTCGCTACGAGGGCGGTCAACCATTGGAACAGGATACTTACAGATTTCGGAATCGCCATCCTTGGGCATTGCACAGACCCTTGCCAAGGATGGTTGAGATGGGGCTGATGCTGCCTTGAGCAGGGGTTAGACTAGGTGCGCCCTCCGTCAGCCCCGCTGGCCTGGCTGCACTACGATTCTAAGGGCCTTGTTACACGGTAACTTTAGGCGGCTTCTGGAGCTCTCAAGCCTTGGACCGGCTGCACATTAACACCTTTTAAGTAACTCAAAGCACTCGTTATGTAGCTTAATGTTATGCCACTCCGGGGCAGGATTATCTCTAATCCACCTAATTTTGTTCTTGTTTCATCAATTTGTGGTCACGCTCCGCAGCTTTTCTGCCCAAGCTGAAGTCCTCCTGCATCCCAAGAGGCTGCAGTGCTTCCCTGCCAGTGCTCGGACCAGCTCTGCTCCCAGCAGCCAAGCCACCCAGCCAACGGCAGGTGAGAGCAGGACCCAGGGCTTCTCATGGATCCCTGCCAGGGTACACAGGCGCTCTGCCTGCACAGATGTTGTAATGGGGCTGCCAGAAGTCACCCAGCTGGGGACATGCTCTGTGGGTCTCTGCAGGCAGAACTGCTTCCAGCAGTGTGCCTCTAGTGTAGACGAGCCCCCAGTCCCCAAAGCTTGTAAGCCTGGCTGCACACAGGAGCAGCGAACCTGTCCTATCCCAAGCTCCTAGTCTGGGCCCTGCTCACAAAACCTCTCGTGGCAAGTCACAGCTGTGCAGGTCAGGGGCAGTCGGAGAAAGTTTTTTAGCCTTGTATGCGACTGCTCCGCTAAGCCCATCAACACTAAGCCAATTAACTTTTATTCAGCTTAGAGCATAAGGTCTGATAGACCCCAAGGAAGAGTAGCATTTTCATTCAATACCATTTCTCCATCCTTTAGACATTGCCAACACCCAACCAACCTGCTCTTGGTCAACACTGAAAACTTGGAAGCACTAAAAGCCACAAGAAAGCTTAATTTTTGAGGTGCTGCTTCCCATGAGAATCTAGTGGTAGCCACAAACCCCAGTACCGTGACAACACACCAAATCTAGCCCCGGCAAAGAGAAGCCAGATGAGAGCATCAGCCCTTTGATTTGTCTAGGTAAAGGCCTGGTTTGAGCTGGAAATGACAGACTGGCAGAGAGAGACCTGAACCCCTGAGGTCTTATCCTGGCTGACAGATTTCACAAGGCTCTCGCTAGGTCACTGCAGTCTTGCTCCGAGTCTCAGGTTTCTACCCTGAAAACTGATCGCGTGCGCATGTGCGTTTCAGTGATGATGGGGCTTATATTATGCATCACTTCCTGACTTGATTTTACATAGAGCCCTGCTGTGTTTTACCAATCAAAAAATGGCACCTGATGCTCGCAGTGCAAAGGGAACAATTGGGACTGCTTGGGGCGCTGGCAGGGGCAGGAACATCAGTGCTCCGAGGGACGCCCCACTGCCATTTCAGGAGAGCGATGGGTCCAAAGACAGTGTGCAGGCAATCTACACCAAATCACCTAGAATAACTCATCTGCTACTGGCCCCGAGTGTGCGCGGCCATGACCCCCGAGAGCAGCCCCTCCGCACCCTGCCTGCGTCACACCCGCCCAGCGCCGCTCACCTTGTGACCTGCTTGTGGAAGTCTGTGAGTTGTTTGTGTGTCACTTGGAGGGCTCCCCCCGAGGTTTCCTTTGGTAAACCCTTCAGTGAGTTCTCTAGCCAGCGACAAAAGGTCTGAACAGAGAGAAGGGGAGGAGCAAGGGAAGAGTTAACATTGCATCAAGGGACCACGGATCAGGTTCTAGCCCTGAGGCCTGCCACTCAAGGTGGCCAGCTTGGTCTGCTGACGGAGACCTCTGTTTAAGCCTCCCCTTTATCTGCAAGCACTATGCACAGCCAGAGTGATTCATTCCTAGCAGTTCCTCAGCCCGCCCGAGCCTGGGGCCTCTCTCAGCCCAGGAGGGATAAACCCCATTTAGGGTGGGCCAGAACCGCATTCCTTGTAGTGGCTGCAGCATGGCAGCAGTGCCATCATCATGCTGATAACCAGCCCCCTCCTGCTTTCCTCTGACCTGAGAAAATCAGAAGCAAATCTGAAGATAGGGAGGTGGAAGGGTTGGCCAAGAGCTATCCTGGAACTCAGAGCATCGTGTCAGAGGAACTGGAGGAATGGGGTAGGGCAGGGGTGCTCAACCGCTCTCCCCATGGGTCTGGAAATTTGCGGCTGGAGGAGTGGCGGCACCGCTCTCTGCTTCCAGATCTCCTGATCCAGGAGCCCTGGGTCCTGAACACTGGACACGGCAGCATGCATGGCTGGATGGAGGTGGCACTGGGACCCAAGGCCCAATCCTAGCACACGGGAGAGGTGAGAGAGGACAGTGCCTTACCCCAGCCCCACCCCCAACCTCAGCAAGCAGGGGGCAGTGCTAGCCTCCCAAGACCCAATGCCAGCATGCAGGGGGCAGGAGGTGATTGTCAGGCCCCCAGGGCCCAATCCTGGCACACGAGGGCAGGAAAGGGCAACGCTAAACCCCCGAGGACTCAATGCTGACATGTGGGGGGTGGTTAGAGCCTCCTGGGACCCAATCTCAGCATGAAGGACTGGGAGGTGGTGGTGCCAAGCCCCAATCTGACCTGCAGACCCGCATCACACATCTGGCTTACAGGATCAAAAGGCTGAGCACCTGGGGTAGGACACTAGCTGTATGTGCTGTAAGTGGGGAGGAATCCTTCAAATTTAGGCTGGTCATGTTGGCCCTTGGGGTTCTGACAGCAGTGAAGTCCGATCAGCCCAACCATCCAAACTCCCAGAGAGGGTTTCATCACACCCCTTGGAAAAGCTCCCTGCCACCACCCGGCTGCCCAGCATCTTCCCATGGCAGCCAGGCTCTACGCGTTTGGGAGGAAACTCGGCCAGCCTTACCGGCCTGTCGATCTGCATGATCTCCCAGAGCACCTCGGCGACGTCCGGCAAGGTGTAGGGTGGCAGGCAGAAGCAGCACGTGTGCAGCAGCTGGCTCACGAGCTGCTGGCCGAGCTGGTTCATCACCTGCCCGATCAGCTCCTTCCGCAGTTCAAAGTCCTCCTCGTGCTGCAGGGGAAGGGAGAGAAGCATGTGAGCCACGCTGGGTACGGCAGCCGGGAGAGCCTGGGGAGAGCTCCCCTCTCAGGGCCCTGCCACGCATTCAAAATAAAGCTGGACAGAAACCAGCTATAAAGGTTTCACACATTTTCAAGCTCTATCTTTATAGCTGGTTGGCTCCTTTTATAGGAAGACAGACATTTTTATGGTCTGCTAATTACTTTGCATGTGTGGCTACTCTAAATTTATTGTGCGATTAACTAGTTAATATATGTTGTGTGTGCCAGGGGCCTCAGATTCCTCCATCCCATCCGACCTGCTCATGGCCACACATATAGGACAGGAGGTGGAAAGACAGCGCTGTGGGTTCAAGATGCCAAATGCTTCAGCCACGGATAAACAGCCTCACATACAAGCTATGTCCATTGCTTTTCTGTATGTCACTTTAGCGGGAGCCAGGATCCAGCCCTGAAGGTCAGGAGGGCAGGTCACAGCAGCTGCTGCTCACCCCTTCCCTCCCTGCAGCACCGTTGGGTGAACAGCAGTGGTAAGGAAGGACCTGCAGAAGGTAGTCTAGTTCAGGGGTGTCAAAGATATGGCCCAGGAGCCAGACCCAGTCCACCGAGCCCCCTTATTCAGCCCCTGGTGGTGCTCCTGGGTTTCACAGTTGCCCCATGCAAGGTGCTGGACAGACCCCACATGAAGGGCCCAGGATACAGGCTGCACATGGTGCCCATTCCAGCAGGTCTGAGACTTCATTGTGTGTGGCGCCTGCTGTAGCTAGTCTGGGATGCAAGTCGTGAGCAGCACAGGTTTCAGACCAGCCAGAGTGGGCACTGGATCTGGCACATGGGACAGGGAAAAGGAAGAGGATGGCTGGATTGGAGGTCCCATGCATGCCTGATCCAGCGCCAACCCCAGGCTGGCTGGAGTGGGCACCGCATTCAGCTTGCATCCTGGACTGGCTGCCACATGTGCCGGATCCAGCATGCAGGGGCCTGATACAGCCAGCAGGGCTGGCCCCATGCCCTTCATCTGGTCTGCTCCACTCATCCAGCTCACGGGACCAGGTCAATTTGACACTCCTGGTCTAGTTAACAGTGACCACATGGCAGGGCAGGCTGCAGCAGCCCTGCAGGCGATGGACGTCCGAGTCCCACCTGGCTTTGCACGGTTGGTCAGACAGCTGCAATTCCCAGAGCCATATAGGAAATGCAATGAATGCACAATACCAGAATCAGGGGAGGACCCAGAGGGGTGCACTTGCACCACCCTTTGACTCCTCCTCCACCCAAACTTTAACACCAACAGCCAGGCAGTGGCAGCAGCATTTCTAGTCCAGTAGCAGTGAGGGAGTCAACTGACTTCATGGCTCATTATCATCTACCAGATCCTTTTTACATTAAACTTCATTCCGCAGATGTTAACGACTCTCTCCTTTTTAACAGTCTTGACATTCCACCAATTAAGCCACCCTTTATTCTGCAATTCTGCTGTCTGTGAGCTGCTCCTGGTAATAAACCACTTATTTCACAGGCCTCCAAACTGTTTTTAACTCACTCCAATGAAGTTATATTTGTTTTTGCTTCAATCTTAAGATGATTCATATAGCGCTGGCCCCTAGTGTGTTAGTAACGCTTCTAGTTTATTTTTAACTGGAGAAAAATAGGTGTTGTGTTATGTGTGATGATGCACTGCGCCATCCGCACCCCACTTTTCAAAATCCTAGCTCTGCCTGTGACCAGAGTATCCACGGTAGGGCGGAGGCTGAGAGTTTAACCCAGTTCAGAAGGGCATTAGATCAGTTCCAGGAGAAAACACCCCTCAGGGGGATCAAACAGAAGTCAGTCCTGGAGTAGCGTCTAACTCAGAACTTCCTGAACCTCTCAATGCTGGAGGCTCCCGTGGGAGAGAACCGGGGGGTGGGAGATTCTGGCCAGGTCCTGCTTATCCTCCCCTTCAATATCCACTTTCTGCCACTGAGAGAGACAGGGGAATGGGGTACAACAGGGTGCTCAATCCCTGACCTTTAAGCCAAATCCAGCCTATGACCTGGTGTCACCTGGCCCACAGGGCTCCCTCAGGTCTGGAAATTTGGCAGTGGGATATTGGTGGCACTGCTCCCCCACCACTAAATTTCTGGACCCATGGGGAGCCCTGGGTTCTGCACCCTGGATCAGTGCCCAATCAACCCCAGCACGCAGAGCCAGGCAGGGGTGGCACTAGGCCCCAAGGCCTAATCCTGGCACATGGGGGCCTGGGAGGGAGCAGTGCCAAGCGTCCTCACAGTCTCGGCATTTTGGACTGTAAGGAAGTGATGCCAGGCCCCCTGGGGATCAACCCAGGCATGTGTGGGGGCAGTGCTGAGCTCCCAGGGGCCGATGACAGCACACAGGGATGGGGAGGGGTGAGGATGAGTCCCAAGGCCCACTCCTGGTGCTTCATGCAGGGAGGGCCGGTACCATGTGGGGCAGGATCTAACCCGTGGACTAGCCCTACTCTACTCATCTGGCCCAGGCAGCCTAAAAGGTTGAGCCCCACTGGCCTAGACGGACCTGCTCCGATCCCATAAAATGGCAATTCTTATGCTCTTATTCCCCTTCCCCTGCAGCAGGCCAGAACGCAGTAGTCCCAAGTCAACCCTATAGGCCTGGAAGCAGATTCCTGTCCTGATGGAGGAGGGAGACATGCGTGAGAGGGAAACGAGGCCTTGTGAACGTGTGTAAAAGCCCCTGGCCCTTCCACCCCACGTCACTCACGTCATTGGCGACACCAGTGTGGACCAGATCCCGCAGGAACTTCATGACGCTGCAGTTGGCGTCCCGGTGGTCAAGGCTGGTGGCAGCGATGGCCCACTGGAGGATGGGGATTATCACCTGGCTGCGCAGCAGGGTGACTGGGCTGCGCTGGATGAACCTGAGGGAGGAGAGGACAGATGCCCATGGAAGTCATAGCAAGCATGGGGGGGTTGCAAAGGGAGCAAGCTGACTGGTTGACTGCCAGACCCTCCCTAGAGAAGCCCCTCTTGACAGACTGGCCTGCAGGGCCTTGCTTCCTTGCACTCAGCTGCTATTTCCCTGCCCCAATACTCAACCCTCACTTCCCTGCAGGGCTGCCATCACAGTCAGCAAGAGCAAGCCCCCTTCCCACTGCCCTGCTGACTCACAGCCCTGCCACAGCTCAAGTTGCTTTGCTCTCTCAGGGAGATAAAGTTACCCTCTGTGTAAACTGCCTCAGCTCCAGCCACCAGGAAAGCAGAATCCAGACCACTTCCCAAACCAGCTTGCGTCGCAGCCAAAATGTCTACAGCAGGGGTGGTGAGCCCTCAGCCAGCATCAGGTCCAGCCCGTGGAGCCAGATAAATTACATCCCCGATCTACAGCAGCTGCCTCCCTTCCACCCCCACGAGTGAGCCCTTGATGAGCACAGGCCACGAAAGTGGTTTTCCTTTGCTGGTTACTGGCTCTGCTGGTGGAAAGCCTTGGCAGCTGCTATGACTCTGAAGAACTGGGGGGCACCCAGAGTTCGTGGAGCCAGTGCTCACACACAATTCAAATCCCATCATCAGAGTCATCATAGAAAAGTAGGGCTGGAAGGGACATCCAGAGGTCATATCTAGTTCAACTCCCGCCTGAGGCAGGATTATCCCTATCCAAACCATTCTATACACATCCATAATTTAAACTCTTCATAAGAAGAGTCTAGCCTAACACAACACAAGGCATAACACCTGAACCTGCCTAAGGGAAAGCAGGGGAACCACAGTGGCCAGCGTCCTGCTTCTATAAAAGGCTGTCAATATACACTCAAGAGATCCGAGGTAGAAGCCATACCCCCTGCTACAGAGGAAGGCAACACCCCCCCTCCCCTCCCCAGTCCATACCAATCTGACAATGGGGTAAAATCCCTTCCTGACCCCTAATATGGCCAAGGTCTGACCCTAAGCAGAGGGGCAAGACCCTCGTCCGGTCAGGAACTCCAGCTTCGGTCCCAGCTGGAGCACTGGCACACCCCATATTTATCCGCAGATGTTGACCTGGTGCCAAAGCAAAGAATACCAGGTCCGTGCTACAGCAATACCACCTGTGTTGTATGGAAGCTGAAACCACAGCACAGGAATCTCAGCAGTATTCCTGCGTACGGCAGGGGGGTTGGACTCGATCTTTCGAGGTCCCTTCCAGCTCTTAATTTCTATGGTTCTATGAATCTATGGGTCTGTGGGAAGCCAATGGAAGGGAGCCCCCCACTTACCTGGTTGCTAGCCGGAAAAGGTCGTCCACAGTGTCAGGATGGTTCTGGAGGCCGTTGGGATGCTCGAGGAGCTGGAAGGTGGGTACACATAGCGCCTAGGAAGAGGGTTATGGGGAGCGGTTAGCAGTTAGCTACAATCGCAATTTAATTAACACTCCGTGGTCTACAGACACAACACAAGACACCATGTTAGTCGTGGTGGGGGCGGTTTGCAGGGAAGGAAAGATGGGAGAGAACAGGTAGAGAGAAAGAGAGAAAGACAGAGCTTACTCACTATGCTGGCCGTGGGCTTCAGCTGACAGCAAGCCCAGTGACAGGCTGTTAAGGGGAGCCCAGGGAAGGGGTCACCCAAGTCTCAAGCCTGGCTCTCCAAGTGGAAGCTGCACAGCGGATGCAGAAGCCCAGCAGTTTAAGGCACACGCTAGTCAAACCTCTCTGCAGCCACACGTGCTCTGGACTTTGCTAATCAAGCTCAAGCCACATGACAAACAGCAGTGTGCCTGACTGCCCTGGTCTGCAGGTCCAACTCCCTATTTCAGACAGGCAGACCCATGTGTCAGGGCTTCCTACAGGGCCTAGTATCCCAGCTGCTTCCCTGCTTTGCTGCCCAGGCTCCGTTCCCCACACAGCTGCCACCATAGACCTGTCCAAGGCCAAACTATTGCACAGGAAACCTGGACTAGCACCAGAGGGCTGGATTTCTGGCACAAATGCTTTCTTCAGGGCAGCAGCTCACAAGATCCAAGAAATGCAATGTTAATCTAGTAATGTGGCCTCTAGTGCCAGTGACTGCTTTCCCTGCTGACAACAGTGCCCAATGTCGCTCGCCCACCCCCGGCCCCAGCAGCCCTCAGCCAACTCCTGAGGCAGCAAGCATTCAGCAGTCCTCAGCACGAGGTCCTGGAGGATGAGAAGCAGGACTTGATTGATTTCCTGCTCTGTGCCTCACTGTCACCCCAGGAGATCAGTGTGCCTGTGTAATCTCTTACTCAGATAGACAGAGCATCCAAGAGCAGTGCACAGACCACGTGTCAGCCTCTCCTTTGCAGAGCTGACTCATGGTACCTGGAGTCAGACGGGGGAAGTGGCTGGTTGCACCACCTGTTGGTGATTCGGTGTTTGCTGCAATGATGCTTCTTGGCATTGCCAGGTAGGAGCCAGAGAGGGGGAGACAGACCTTTAGCCAACACCCAAGCAGGAGCAGAGCCATGTTCTGGACCCCCACACCTCTCCATAGGGTGAGTCAGGGCCAGTCCCTTCACCCCTCTGCACAGCGATGAGGGCACCCAGCCCTGATGCCTGCACAGTGCTCTGACCATCTAACATGCCCTGTGGCAGCTCAGTGGCTTGCAGAGAGAGGCCAGGCCAGAACTCGGGTATTGGTGCCTCCATCAGGGAGCACATGGCATTCACACGCAGGGAGGAACAGCCCAGGCTCATTGCCTCCCCGCACTGGCTGCTCCAGTTTACGAGGTTCCCTGTCGGTTTTGCTGGCTGAGGAACACAAAGCCCTTCCCAGCAGGCTGCGACTCAGAACAGGAGGCCTGGATTTCCCCATGACAGCCAGCACCACTGCAACATCACAAAGGAGTCTCAGGTAGGAGAGGGTTGGGTTCACTGCTCAATGTCTGGGCATTTTTATCTAGCGCAGCAAGCCCTGTCCTCTATGCTTCCACGGACAGTCCCGACACCACTCTGTATAAAACAAAACGGCTCTCGCCACAGCTATAATTAGGCAGCTCCTAACTCAGAGCATCGGGCACTGGTACCTTCCGCTGCAGTTAGAAAGCAGCACCTATGGGATTACCAAGGGCGAGCTCTATCAGAACAAGTCTCAAGGCCCTTGTCCGAACCAAGGGTGCAGCCACACCAAATGGTGGACTGGGGCATTCCCAAACGTAGACAGAGAAAACTGTCAGAGCAACAAAGACGTTTAAGAGCCATTGGGAACCTAAATCCCGTCATCTTTCATTGAGGTACAGGCCCAGGGAGGGGAGGGGGGAAGGAGTTGGAAGATACAGCTAAGTAGGTAGCTGAAGAGCAGGTGCAGCTTATGACTATGTAGCAGAAAGCCCCTTTTCCTCTTGCCTGCAGTTGCTCTCCCCTCCTTGGATATGTTTTTCCTCTTCTACCTTTTCTTCCTTCCTCTTTCTTTCACTTTAAGATAAGGAATTGTGTTTTGAAATTTGTACGTGTGCATTTTGTATCTCCCCTTGTATTTTGGTATTTTTATCTATTTGTGTGCCATGGCATTACTTTTGTAACTTATATTTTATACTCCTCACCTTTCAACTTTCAACTAAATGTGTTTAGTTTCATAAGTAAGTTATACATTGTAACAATGTTAACAAGGGCAGGAATCAAACTGCCCTTCCCTGTATCAGGCTGGCCCCTGAAAGAGCCAGTGAATCAGTGATTGAATGTGTAACACGGTAGCAGGCAGCAATTAACACCTAAGGAAACTGCAGATCAACCAACTGGAGAACTCCATAGAAGACAATGTAACAACCGGAAAATCTCTAAACGCCACTGATCAAGGGCTAGAAGCCCTGGTCTGAGTTAATCAACACCGGGGACCAACTTTTGGGCTGAATATCTCCAAATCGACTGCTCCCAGAGCCTTATTCAAAATTCATCAATGGACTCCCAAACCTGCACATACATGCGGACGACCCCTGGGGCTGACAGATGCCGTCCAGTAGCCACCAAGGGGGGGGAAGTGCCACGAGGGTCAGATAAAAAGCAGTGAAAAGTGACCCTCGGGGCGCCCTCTTGATCTCCAACTCGACCAGACCTGTCCAGCCAGAAGGACCAGCCAGCGACCCCCTTCTGGAGGATAACACCACGTTGAAAGAAGCCTCAACTGGCCATCAACGGCAGACTCCAGCACTTGTAGAATAGGTATACCGGACTCTTGTAGCTTGCTACTGTGTGCGCATGCGCAGGTGTGTGCGCGCGCACGCGTGTGGGGACCAGCCCCAAGGTTTATGAGTTAACTTCATTACAGTGTTTCAATCCGCCTAATAAACCAGAATTTTAAGGATCCTGAGTTGGTCATTTGTAGCCAACAACTAGACCTGGCCCATGCATGTCCGTACGTGCACACATGTATGTACATGTGTACGTATGTATGTGCACTGCCTCAGCAGGTTGAAGGAGGCTGAACAGCTCCAGGGGCACCTACCTGCAGCATGTCCAGCAGCCCTTGCCGGCACCCTTCCTCCATTCCGTACTCATCTACCAGGATGCTGCCGAGGTACAGGAAGCAGGAGTGCTGGTGCGCCTGGTATACACTCACCATCTGCCAAGGACATGGCATACTTAGAGTCAGAGTCACTCTGTACTTCCCCCAAGAGCACCCACATGCCCTAGCCTCAGTGCGGACAGTGACACAGTGGGCGCCTTTCCTGGTATGGGGGAGCCTGGCAGGGCCACCAAGCTGAAACCAGGTTTCACCTGCTAGGACTAGGGCATTTCTGAGAAGCCAGAGGCTCCCTGATCATGAGCTCCAAAGGCCCTCCACCTCGCCATCTACCCTGGGCACCCACTGTGGGCCTCTGCTCTCTCTGTTACACTCTGGAGAGGGCACATGCCATGTGCCAGCTAAGGCAGTGCCCTGTGACCTTCTGAAACCCACAGCCCACCTCCAGATCCCAGCATGGCCTGAACTCTCCCACCCCACAGCTCACCTTCAACTCCCTCACCCCACCCCAGGCACAGCCCTGCAACTACCTCCCTCATGCCTCCCAAACAAGTGTGGGTAGAGCAGCCATGCGCTCTCTCTATAGGCAGCTGCTATGACTATGAAGAACTAGGAGGCACCCAAAGCAGCACATCTGTGAGCACACAGGTCTGCACCTACCCTAATTAGCTCTGCCTCTGAGCAGAAAGCAGCAGGGTATCCAAGGCAGCCTGGATGTTTCTCTCCTGCTGGAGCTAGTACACAGGACAGCCTGGTGCCAGGAGCATCGGGAAGGGAGCAAAGACAGCTGCACTCCACCCTTGTGGCCCACCACTCTCCAGGTGAGGACCATAAGTCTACAAGGTACCCTGGTGCTCCCTACCTCGGGACCAGTGATGCTGAATCTTACCAGCTCCTATACCCTGAGCTGGAATTCCTCACACTGGATTGGTGAAACCAGAACATGCCAGTCTGCTCCCAAACAGAGGCCTAACCCCAGTACTTTGGCAAGGCAAACTCCCCAGATTGTTCTTGTACTCTCCACTGCTTTTGGAGGAATGAGGGACTCCTTACTGCCCTGCTTCTGAGTGTTAATGCCTGGGGCTGTGGGATACAAGGGTTGTTTGTTCAACTTCATTTTTAATCTAACTTTATGGGGCAGCCTAACCTGCATTCCCAAAGCCAGCACAGCTTCCTGTTATCTTGCATCTCTCTCTGGTATCAAGGTATTAATCAGAGAACCAAGGAGTTTTAAATCTCACCTAAGAGACCTCAGTTCAGCCTCACTAATTCCCAGGTATTTTGAGCTTTGCATGTGGATTTAGGGCTCCCAGCCGTGCCAGTCTCCCGGAGCTGTGACCATCTTATTGAGGAATGGGTACAAAAAAGGGTCCGTTCTGTCCTTAACCTTGAGCGCTCATATGGGGACAGCTGGACCAGGAGCTGTTTCTGTAGCAGGTTTTCATACTGGAAACCCTTTCTACAACTGATTCAGTCTTGTAAATGCCAAGGCTCACATTCATTTGCTGCTGCCAGTTAATGTGCGTGCACATGTGCATGCTGTGAGGTTGTCAGTGTCTGCACATGTCTTTGAAAAGCCCATGGCCTCCTTACCTGTGTGACCAGCGGCTGCAGCAAGGCTGCAGATCCTTTGCCCACGCAGCGGACAGCGAAGCGCAGGCACCGGCAGCAGCGTTCCACGATGCGGTTATCGGCACTGTGTTTGTTCAGGGTCTCTGACAGCACAGGCCAGATCTAGGTGAGGAAAACAGGGAGCGTCAGACAGGCAGGAAGGGCAGCCAAAGATGACCCAAGTACTGTGGCTACCAACCAAACACCCCCCTATGAAAGCCACGCAACCTCCAAGCGACAGAGGGGCGAGTTCTCAGGGACAGACATGTTCATATACAGGGATCCTCACCCCTTCCAGAGCCATTGCCCCAGGGGTCTCACAGCACAGTGTTAATTGTACTGCTCAGCATCTTCCCAACACGCCGTACCCAGAAACCAAATTCCACAACCAGGTTTTCCAATGGCTCTAGACCAGATACCCCTCCCAAGATCCCTCCTGGGAGGAGGAGGAAGAATGGCACTAGGTCTGCCAGAAGGTTATTCCTACTCACCAGCCCAAACCCACAGCTCCATCGTGACGAACTGGATCTGCCAGTGTCACCTAGACTTAATATTAAGAACAAGCGGATGGAGGACGAGGGCCCCCATGCTGACATGGATGGTCACTTACCTCCTGAATGACTTTTTGGCACGGATGGATCTGTCCATTTTCTACAATGGGGTTGGTATGCCTGCAAAAGCAACAAAAGGGTAAGGATTTTTTTCAGTGTTTATGCCAGTGGTTCCCAAATTGTGGGTGTCAACCCCAAATGGGCTTGCAACATCAGCAGACAAGGTTGCGATAAACAGGGATCCGGGTTTTCTGTTGCCTGTGGAAAAACATGGATTTTCTCCTTTAAAGGAGAAAAACGTGGGTTTCTCCTTACAGGCTGGCAGGGTTCCATCCTGCAAGGGGCTGCGAGGAGCAGGAAGAGCGATTGGAGGCAGGGGGCACACGTGCCCATACATGCATGTGGCAGCCAAGCAGTGTGGACAGCAGCTCCCACAGCTACTTCCAGGTAAGTCTACGGGGGTTGGGGGGAGGGGGAACAGGCCACACATGTTGGAGGCGGGGGGGACAGGAGGACACGCCCCAAGATTTCTGTGCCCACAGTGGGATGTGGGGCTGCAGCCGAGCCAGACCAGCTCCAGGCAGGAGCTCCCTCCATGGCCCAGCAGGCCGGACCCGATGTGGGAGGGAGCACCGTACTGCCACAGCTGCTAAAGGTGAGGTGCAGCAGCGGCGGTGGCGTGGAGTTGTGCCCCCACTGCTGCTGGTGCCGCAGCATTCCTTCCCACGGTGGGTCCCACCTGCTGGGCCGCTGAGCCCACGGGAAGAGGGCAGTAGGGCGGGGAGCCTACAGCAGGAAGCCCACTTCCCTCCCTTCTCCCTCCCCACATAGGTTCTGCTCTGGCCGTGCTGCCTGTGGGAGCAGGGGGAAGCCAGGCTTCGTGCTCCACTCCAGCAGCAGCTGGGGCTCAGGTGCTACTGGACTGGTGGGGAAGGGCGCTGTGGGCCCTGGCCCTGCGGCACCAGGGGGAAGAGGGAAGATGCAGGCTGGGAGTGAGGGGCACCAGCAGGGCCCAGAAGGCTGTAGCTGTGGGTTGGGAGTGAGAGGCCATGCTGAGGAAATGGGGGTCATACTGAGGAAAAGTTTGGGAAGCATTGATTTATGCTGTTCAGGAGGATAGGAACGGGATGAGTTAAGCCACACTTAAATCCCAAGACTCAACCCATAGGGGCAAGGGAATTGTCTCTACAGCCCAACAGTCCTGTGCATCTGCTCTAGTGGTGGACTGGGGCTGTGGATACTTGCCCATTATATACTGGGTCCCAGTATATTATTTTGCATAGGCTGATAATGGCTAAAAGGAAATGACTAAGTTGAGCTAGAACCAGATGCCTTGAAATAAAAAGAAAGAAAGTGCTTTCTAGTGTCAGGAGGGGCAGCAACTGTTGCAGTCTGGGATGGTGACAGGGGACCTCTTGTCACCCCCTCTGCCTGAGCAGGGCTTCTCAACTGCTATGAACAAGATGCTCTGGTTGTTTCATGGATTTTTAGCTGATTTAAGAGACCAGCAAGAACTATCAACAAGACGTGGTCTGACCGTGAGCCAGGAGCAACCTGCAGTTGCCCCTCCTTCCTTACCTAAATATGACAGCAAGTCGATCAAGGGGCACAGTAGGGTCTGATGAGAGGCCATTGCTCGGCTCCTGAGAAAGCAGCTGGGGAGAAGAAGCAAACATACACTTGAGATTTCATCAACGCACAGAGATCCCCCTGCTGGATGCCACTGCCCTGTGGAGAGGGCCCACAGATCATGAAATGCACACTGCCTCTTCTAGATCTTCCCAGAAATGGTCATTCCTTGCCTTATAGCTCAAGCAGAACAGAAACCTCCTCTGGGTTACCATGTGGAGGCAGCATGCCAGAAGTGGGCATAAGGTTGAGTGTGAATGGAGTCGTGGCCTCTGGGATGGAAGTGGGGCTGGTTAGAAACCTGAGCGGACACGAGTCTCAGCTGCACAAAACACAAGGCTAACTGTCCACCTGGCAACCAGTATTACAAACAGAACAGCAGCACTGGGCCCTACCAAGAGGAAAAGCTGACTAGTGGCTGAGAGCTCCCTAGAGACGACTGATCTCTGCACTCCGACCTGCAACACCTAACTCAACTCAGGTTCCACGGTGAGCCATTCAGGCCTTGTGGCTCTAAAGCTATCGGTCATTTCAGGAGACACAGATAGTCCCATCTCTCTTCGATCCTTTCCATTTCCTGGCTAGAGCCCTTTTCCAATTTGCTAAGTCAGTCAAAGCGCCAAACAAAGGCATCGTGGCTCCCATACTCCTGGGATGGTCAGAACCTGGCCTAGGACCATCACTACCACCTGTGATTCAGAGGTACAGACTCTGGAGACTACATATTCCAGAACACTTCATCTTAGCCCTAGCAGATGCAGCTTAAATCCAGATGAAGCACTGCATACTGGGAAGGTGGAATCTCCACCTGCTGTATCTGCTGTTTCACACAAGCTATCTATAGCCCCCAGGGCTACCAGCAAATCAGTTCACGTTTCTGCAGCATTTCTGTGTGTTCTGCATATTTGGTTCCCAAACCCAGGAAGCTGTTCCACTCCTCTTAGAGTCAACTCCTCAGCTGCTGTCAGTCTGGGGAGCTACTCTGAATTTAAGTGGGCCAAGTAATTTAAACCAGCTGCAATCATGGCCTCACATGTTCAAGAACTTCCTTCACGCTCTTGCCCTTCCTATACTGTCAGCTAAAGGGAAGAATAAAACTGCTCCATGCTACAGACCTCGCATGAAAGGGCAGGTTTTCTGCTGTGCAACTTGCACAGAGAAAACCCCCGGGCACAAACCCAGCCACACGACAGGGCGAAGTTCCGTGGCTCCAGTACCCGGGACAGACCTTTTTGAGCGCCATCACCTGCACGGCGCACAGCTCGCTGAGGCATTCCGCGATCTTTTCCAAAGGTAGCCTGGCCAGGACCAACGCTGTCCCTGAAAAACAGAAGGGAACAAGTTCAGGAAGAGGTAGGAGGTCAATCGACTTCAGGCATAACTGCCGGCAGGGATCTGACTGCAACACACTGCCTAACACTACCTACAGAACATAGGAAAACCACCCCCTGCCCTCATGCAAACCCAGAGCGAGCAGAAAAGCACCAGGCTGAAACATCACTCTAAATGCAGCAGAGCTTAGGGCCAATTTTCATTTTGATCAGGCATGGAAATGAATGCTTATGATGGGAGATAAAAAGGATGCTGGTGTCTTGGAGTAAAAGCCCCACTGAATGAATGATCTAGCTACTCATGTCTACCCAGACACTATGTGCAAGGAAGGGGCACGCATTTCTCTAATATCCACTAAGGATCCAATAACAACACTTGTGTCCTCCCCCAGGGGAGGACAAGGAGCAATGCCCATAAACTGTCAGCGGATGGTTTCAGGTTGGATGCAAGGAAGAACTTCTTTACAGTAAGGGTGACCAGAATCTGGAACAGACTTCCCAAGGAGGTGGTGCAGTCCCCAACCTTGGAAGTCTTTAAGAAGAGACTGCACAGACACCTTGCTGGGATCATTTGATCTCAGCAGTGTTCCTGCCCAGAGCAGGGGGGTTGGACTCTACGATCTTTCGAGGTCCCTTCCAGCCCTCAATTTCTATGATATTTACTTGTCACATTTCAAAGTGCTACCAGCTGCAAGTCTTTGAATAAAGTACGATGATGTTATACCCAGGATAGCTTATAAGACAGGATATATCTATTTTTCTTCCCTATCAGACTCTGACCAAATTTTTAAACAGCAAAAAATTGCTAGGCAAAAAACATGTATGGAAAACATTCAGCCAAAAATGATCTTGCTGCTACCTGAGAGTGAACTGTGAAAGCAGGGGGCTATAACAGACATTTTAAACTCTCGCACAAACAGGGAGGCTGCTTTTCAGCAGACGAGCATTTAGTCCCAACCACATCTGACCAAGCAAGTCAATACCTTTGAGGAGTCCTACAGCAGCCTCTGGAGACAGCATGAAGGAATCCAGGGAGCGGGCGATCTCCAGCAGTCCGTTAAAGTGCTGAGCCATGTGGTCCCGGCAGACTGAGCAGATATTATGAATGGCTTTGGCGGCGGCAGAGGCCAGCGGCCTGTTGCACAGACCTTTCATCAAGTACCCGAGCACAGGATCTGAGAGCGAGGGGGGGAGAAAAACCCACAGGGAAACATCCCATTAAACACATGCACACTTGTGGGAAATTTGATTTATTTCTCCTGCCCGGAGTCCTGCAGAGAGCAGCATCCCACCCCAGGAAGGCAGGCCAAGTGCGGAGGCAGGTCTGCACTGATAGTGAGACTCACCCAGGAAATGAGGGTTTCTGTCCACGACTTCACTCATCTCCCCCACCAGCTCAATGCTGGTGTAGCGCACAGCAGTGTGCACTGTTTCTGGCAGGCGCACCACCCCTTCCAGCACTTCCACTAACGTCGGGTTATTCTCCCTGGGGACAGAGGCAAGCAGTTAGTACCAGGGCTGTTAGCCTTGTTCCTGAGTCATGAACCAACATGGTTTCCCCACAGTGCCTTACACTTCAGCCACTCTGAAGGAGCCCAGACCACCATGGAGTCACCCAGCCTATTTAAGATGGATAAGACCGGCTGGATAAGACCCTGGTGGTGGTTTTAACAGCTTCGGCAGTTCCAAAATTTGGTGCATCAAATGCTTTCATTCGAAACACAGGGGCAGAGACAGGACCACCATGATCTGGAAGACCACTGGTGATAAACAGCAGCAGAATGAAGGAAAAGGCATCGCATCAGGGTGAGAATTATGGGGTGAAACCAAGATGAATGCTGTCCAGCGAGATCCCAGGCATTCCCACATAACCTTTATTACAAGGCATGTACAAGGGACCCCTCCACTGCCACATACCCACAGGCTCTCCCTCTTAGTTTGACCTCTCATAAGGCTGGAAGGGACTTGAAGCTATAGAGCATCCAAGACGGTGATTGTCAACAAGGATACTACCAGGTCTTTTGAAGGGTGGTGTATGGAGACAAGCAGGTAAACTTAAGCAGAGAAGTGCAGGGTCAGGCCGTCCCTGCCTCAATGGACCCCCTCCGATCCCCATCCCCACTGCCAGGCCCCTTCTTTAAGCACTGTAATCTATAAATGTTTTGGGAAATGGGTGCCCCTTAATTCACAAGAGTTATGGAGGGTCCAAAAAAGGTTGAGAACCACTGATCTAAGGCAGAGGCAGATTAATGCGTACTGAGGCCCTGGGCAAACAAAATTGGAGGCCCCCTGCCCCCACTGAAAGTGGGCTGTGGGGGGGTGGAGGGGAAGACCCCTTCCCCCCTGGTGCTGGCAGGGGAGGCTGGGAGGCCCCTGCCGCACTGGAGGGGGGGGGGAGGGGCACATGCCCCACTCTTCTCCCTGCTACTTGCCCCACCCCCCGTTGGCCAAATATACACACACACAGGCATGCACACAGATAAATGCACACTCTACTCTCACTCACTCTCTGCACATGGACACAGACACAAACACTCTCCCTGAAATGAACACACACGCACGCACACATACAGGTGTACACACAGATGCTCACACAGAAACAGATGCATACAAATGCACAGATGTGCACACAGATGCATGTACACCTAGATGCACACGCACGCAGATGCACACAGACACATGGAGATGCATACACACACTCGTGCACACACAGACACGTACTCATGTGCACACAGACATGCATGCACACAGGCAGACACAGATGTGTGCACAGTGACAGACACACACACCCAGACACATACCTTCCCCTCACAGGATCTCCCCCGCTCCCCATCGCTCTGAGGCAGCCTTCCCCCCCCCAACCACCCGCAGCTCCATCTTGTTCCCGCCCGTGCCCTTGTTGCACTGACCGGCAGGGAGCTGCTGCTGGGCTGTGTCCCTGCAGCTGCACACGTGCACGGGCCGGATCAGCTCAGGCCAGAAGCCCCACACCGTGCCTCTACGTGAGGGTGGCAGCACTGGGAGGGGAGGCTCCCGGGAAGCTAATTCTGGGGGGCTATGCCCTTACCAGCACCACTGCCAGTCTGCAGAGGCGCAGCACAGAGCAGCACTCTCCCACCCCCCGCAGCACGGTGCTGCACGGCACTCCCGACCAGCCATCCCCAGCCTGACCCCCACACCCGCTGGGAGAGGGGTTCCCCTCCCAGCTGCAGGGAAGCAAATACAAAAGCCGGGGTTTTAAACTTGGTGCCATTTTTGTCTCTCCGCTGGGAGACAGAAACATGCCAAGTTTAAAACCAGGGCTTTCAGTTCCCTGCTGATCAGGATCCCATGGCCTGGGCCCTGAATCGGCAGGCTCGTGCCCAGTTGGCCCATGCATTAATCCACCTGTGATTTAAGGGCACAAAAGGCACACAAGTAGTTGGTCTTTCAGGCTGGCACAGTCCTTCAAGGCTCCCAGAATTAGGGGAAACGTGCCCTCTTGTGGCACCACGTGGGAGTTCACCCTTACTGAATCAGTCCAGCTGCGTTTTGATGGGTCCGCCACAAAGAGCAGGGATCAGCAAAAAAGGGAGTCAAACAAGAACATGAGGACAAGTGACCCTGAAACACTGCTGAGCGGAAGTGTGGAACTCAAGATACTCGAGCCCTCAGATGCTGCAATCTCTGAACAGGAACAGAACTTGGAGCGTGAAACAGCCCTGTAGGGGCAGCCTGGTTGCACCGTAACCTGAACCAGCATGAGAGGGGAACAGGGCGTGGAAGGCACCATCTCCCCTTCAGCCTCCTGGAGAGCCTGCGATACACAATGTGTAGCTGCAGAACAGTCCCACATTGCCATTAAGAGCTGCCTATTTACAGTGTGCTTCATGCCACAGGAAGCTCGTGACCCTGCAGCAATCAGAACTGCAAGTGATACGACAGGGCTATGGAGACAGGACTACAAGGCGACTGCCCCCTCACTTGCAGATACAACCAGGGCGTGTGGTACTCACTGGTCAACGCTCTTGGCTATTGAGGCCATGATGAAGAGAACAGCTTCCGTCACCTCCCAGGGAGGGTTCCCATCCTTCAAGGTAGCATACAGCTGTGGGGAAGAAGGACTCTGTCACACAGAGCACGAGCCCAACCCAGCAGCCACTGGTCGTCTCGCTGGCATGCAATGGCCAGTTCGCTCCTCTGTGAAGCCCCGAGTGCAGCAGACACCTGGGCCTGGTTCCACGCTAGCACCCATTTTTCTGTGACTGCAGCTGCTATCTGACATGCTGTATCAGTGCTGGCAATGTTTGTCAGGCTGCTGCTCCTGAAGTGATCTCATAGGTGACTTCAGGTAAAGCCCCCAGTTTCCCTCCCACTGTCTGCAGTGACTGCACAGTATACATACAGCTGGCAGGATGGGAAGGAGGAAGCCAGCAGGGCTCGGCCAGCTCAGGCACACACAACCCACTGGGAGCTGAAATGGGCTTTCAACACATCTGAGGCAAAGGAGGGAGGCAGGGAACAAGAGCAGTATGCAGCAGTGAGCTCCCAGCATGAAGCCTGACCATTGTAGGCCATGAGGGTGGAGGCCAAGCAGTGAGTACAGCAACAGAGATAACCCGCAAGGTCATTCACGTGACACTGAATGGTCAGTCAAACCTGTTCCTTAGCAATGGCACGCCACACACATGCAGGAACAGATTCCCCTCCTGGGCACGGCAGGAGAACCTCTAGCCCCCCCGGGTTCACCTGGGCAAAGCACTCCACAGATCCCACGAGGAAAATCAAGTCCTTCACCAGGTCTGACACCCTCATGCGGAACTCCCCGAAGTCATCCGTCTCCTCCGGGACACCCTCCTGGCAGACACGGAAGGTTGGGAGGAGTGGGGTTACGGCAGGAAAGGGAAATCTTGGTCTTGGTTTACCCACATCGAGGGCAAGACAAGCTGTTTATAGTCAAATAACCTTGGAACCCTGCAGTCCTGTGCTCTGTACCAACTCAGAACCCTGCAGTCTTCTCCTCTGCACCCAGCTAGAGGTGAAGGGAATTGTGGGAACTGGAAGGCAGAAGAGTGGACACCAAGATGCAGGACAACGATACTTCCTACCTTCTTGCTCCTGCATTAAAAGGCCATGCGCCCTTCCTGTAGCAAACTCCCCAAATAAATGCAAGATCCCAACCGTTTCAGAGCCAGGGAAGTGAGGGAATGGATGAATACAGCCAGGGGTGGCACAAGATCTTAAAACCTACCCAGACCCAATCAATAAGGGAGAGGAGGACATGCGGGTTTAACAAGCTGCAGGAACACTTATGGCCAGGTCCTATTCACCTGTTAGGTGTCTAAGCAGTACTTAGTCTAAGTGTAACCCTAATTCCACCCTGCTTGAGGTCCCTGAAATGCCACAAATGCAAATGGTTGTTTTTATTGGCTTAATCTAAAACCAAGATAAAAACGTGCTACAAAACTAGATGCACTAGGGGCTTTCAGGCACCTGGCTTCAGTGGAACAGGCTTACACTTAGACACATACGTGCCATCTAGATGCCTAGCAGGTAGATCAGGATTGGTGTTTAGCCTGCAATTTCAAAACACCGGCATGTCAGCGGGGGTGAAGGAAGCACAAGGATGGAGAGCCTCAAAGTTAGACCTCCCAGAATGAGTCTAACACCCTCCCCTCAACACATGCACACACACTCATCCTCCCTCTCCCACCCGAGTTGTCATTCAGGGCATCACAGGTAGCATAGCAGCCTCTTGGCACACATGCTGGCTTCCTGAAGGGAGGGGGGATGTCATATCATGCATCCTCTAAACATGTGACTACTTTCCTCACTGTCCAACCCTCTCACCTCCACAAAATAGCCTAGCTGCAGACCCTGGCAGACGTTACATTTATCACACAATTAATGTGTGGCATCTTCGTGGCTGGTTTGTATCACGCTTTAATTTGAATGCGGCAATACAGCCTAGCATCAGGCTGCACGATGCGACTAAGTGTCCCATTGTGGGGAACTGATGGGCTACCTCCACATAGGGACATTCAAAGCCATGCCACATAGTCCAATGCCAGGTTGACAGGTCCACGGTGAGCACAGCCAGCTGTACGCCCCAGCAGCCATGTGATGGGATCTGAGAAATGTTATCCCAGATCAGCAGTCATGCATCTTGCTGTGCCAGCCCTTGAATGTCTGGTATAGCATGATGCACAATTGTTAGGATAAAATTCCTTAGACTCCTTGTGTGATTAAATTAACATCTGCTGGGACCCTCAGTTACATGCATGGCCTCCTGCCTAGTAATGACAACTGGCACATAATGCATTTCACTCACCACCATGCCCCCTCCCCTGCTGCTATGGCCTTCAGGAAGAGTGGAGGAAGAGAGAAAAGGAAACTGAACGCAGTCTTACGTGGTCTGGGTCAAGCTGACAGTGTCTGGCCAGAGCGTGGAGAAGCCTCTGTATGTAGGCTTTGAAGATGCTGTGTATGACTACGTCCTCCGTTTTATACAGATGCTCCCCCAGTCTGTACCAGAAGTTAAAGGAAATTTCTACCACCTGTTGGGAGACAAAACAAGAGCTGTTCAGTGTTGTCCCCACCGGGGCCTCCACTATAAAGGGCTAGTCTGCCCAGGGAAAGTTACTGCAAAATAAACTGGGGTAAAAATTTAGCACAGAACAGCCTTTTAATAGCAAGAGGTTTCATAGGTTTTCAGTACCTCTTCCATCACCATGAGGTTGTACCCAGGCCTTCTGCTTCAGGCACTAAAGGGAGCTAAACTATATTCTTTCCCCACCACAAACACACAGCAAAGGTTTCAAGGCTCTCATCTTTGGACAACTAAAATGCACCCACATATGATACAGTAAGAACAGCTTTTGCCACTGAAATGATTTGGGAAATGTGAAAATACAAGGCATGAGCTAGGAGGCCTACCTCATACTGCGGATGGCCCGCACAGATCAGCAACAACTCCAGGGTCCGCAGGTCACCCAGCCCCTGGCCTGGGGTGCACACAATTTTATCTAGAAACGTCTCACAGAGTTCAGTGAAGACACGGCAGTAATTAAGCACCCTGGTGAAAGGAGGAAACAGGTCAAAAACAAGTAATTTCCCAGGCAAGTATCGAATCCCAGATATTGAAATACAGGGACAAAGTTTCTTGCATTTGGACTTTGATCTAGATCTGTTATTCTCAGTCAGCACCTTGGAGTACCTCGAAATCCCTCCTAGGGTGCAATGCAGCTTTAGCACTGTTAAGTGTACAAACATGATTCAAAAGATAAATGCAGAGATTTCAAATAGGAGTCCTTAGTGTTAAAAACATTCTGACCTATTCTGGTTTTCCTGAGTTCTTTGCAACAGTAAAATTGCTCTGGTATTTTTCTGTAGCCAAAAGGCAAGTAAAAATTAAGAGCTGACATTTTCCAAGGGGTGCCCCGAGCGTAAAAAGGTTGAGAAAAACTGCTGTAGAGGCACAGGTATACTAAATTCTTGCACTTCGGCTTTTTCATCATAAGGGGTTTCTAAACTCACCTCTAAGTTTTGAGTACATAGAGAAGTGGGCTACAGTATACTGTGTCTGAGATACCAGCTGTTACTCGGATTTAGGCATAGACCACGGCATGGCCGAATCTGGGTTCCACCAAGTGAAACTTGACAAGGTAAGTAGCCATGGCATCTCCGAAGACTGTGGCTCAGACGACAGTTTCCGTCATCCATCTCCACAACAGCAAACAGACACTGAGGAGTCTGCCAAAAACTGATGTCAACTGCTTTCAGCACAAGAACGGCATGTATCAGTACCAGAAGGAAGGGAACGCATGAAGTCTCAGAGTGAGCAAGTACGTGAACCAAAAACTTATAGGACACAGGCTATATTAACCTTGATTTTCACAGCACCTTGTCTAGCTGAGCTTATGCAGTGAAACAGCTACCATCCCTGCCGTGCCTTTAGAAGTTAAGTCTAAGCAGCTGAACTCAACTACAAAGCTTCTCCTCAGTGTAACCAGCATGACTGCCTTGGTTCTGATCTTTTCTTTCCGCTTCCTACCCGAGACCTGAGACAGTGAAGAGTGGCTGAAGAATGTACACTCCTTGGTACCAGAGGATTTGGAGTACAGGTCAGTGTAAGACTGCAGGGTTTCGAGGGCCAAGCACAGGACTGAGATATTAACTCCTGCTTTCTAATTCTGGGTCAGGAAGAGTCACTACCTCAGTACCTCTACTTTCCCCTTTGAAGTGGGCATTCCCCTAGATGGGTGGAAAGGAGTTAAGCCAGTGAACAGAGTTCAGTGAAGGAGGTAGAAGGTGCAGGTTCTATTGCTGGCACTGACACTGTGCGACTGTGGCCAGCTTATTTTCCCTCCCCCAAAATTTTCTGCCCATTTCCGTACCCTGTAAGTTGAAAGAACAGATAAAGGGGAACTCTGGGACAAGGGCTCCTCCTTACTCTGTACAGAGCCTACCACCATAGCACCCTGATCACAGCTTTAAAGAAACAAGGGACAGGCAGGATAAAACAAAATCATGGTGGTTGCAATGGTAAAGGAGATTTCTATGGATCTAGGGTTGGATCTGATTTTGAGAGATCTCTATCCATATTGTTAGCAAGATAACCACTGCTAAGAACTGTGTCATTATACAGTACCAGCTTTGCAGATACAGACTAGAGAACAAATGCTACTAAGAGCAGTAGGGGCCAAAGTATGGGAGAGCAGACCGATTTCTTCAGATATCCACCGAAGTGCTTAAGTGGATAGCATGGACTGCTATCTCAGTCCATGCAAGTCTGGGGACATCTCAGAAGAATTTGTTATAAAAAGTAAACCTGAATCAGGTAACAATGAGTTGATTTCATTTAGTTTAAATGAGAGGATAAAAAGGAACCAAACATCTGTGACTAAGGCTTTCACGTAGAAAAGAGTTGCTAAGACAAAGGGAATTAATAAGAGAAGTTACCTGGATGGATGAACTTGAGCACATGAATACGGAGGAGGCCTGAAATTTCTTCAAATCAAACATGTACAAGTAAGGTGGAATTTGTATCTCGAGGAACAAGAAAAACATCCTATAGGGCAGAACTCCAGACTTAACTGGCTGAACAAATCACCCAAAAAGGAAATCAGGAATAAACAGAGCACTACAAGGAACCCACAACAGATCAGTAAAGAACAGGAGGTATAAGGATAAAATGAGAACAGCCAAAAAGCCAAGCAAAGTTACTCCTTGCAAAAGAAAATAAAAAAGAAACAAATAGTAAAAGATTCTTTAGCCACATAAATAAGGAGGCAAGAAAGGAATTAAGGTTGCTATTCAGGGAGTAAAAGTTCAAGATTAAAGAATCTATGCATGGCCTATCAATTAAATCGCTATTTTGCTTCTACTTAATGTGATGATTAAATGTGGGGCAAGAGTAGGATGGCCAACAGGAAAGACAGCGTGGGTTGAACGAGTTTTATGTGAGAGAAGCAGGACTCAAGGTGCTTGAGGAGCTCAGGTCAGGAGAAACATACAATCTACAGCTGAGAATACTGCCAAAGTTGGCACAAATCACAAATTCCTCTGCACAAAATGAAGTGTATTTTTCTACCTATGGGGACTTGTACCATCTTTAATTTTCCCTAAGCCTGAGGAAGAGCACATGAGCTCGAAAACTTGCAGAGAAAGATAATATTTTTGAGATTTCTTAGTTGGTCTAATAAAAGGTATCATCTCTGAACCAAGAGTTTTAGAGTTTTGCAACTTCTCTAGCAAGCAGTTTTAAACAAGTCTGACACTGCAGGTGGCACCATGTTGGCTGGAGAAGAACAAACCTATCACCTATATTTAAGCCAGTGCATAATGTTATTCTGGCAACCACTGCCTGCTGGTGTGACCTCGATAATGTGCAAAGCTTTAATTATTTCTATCCAAAGACAGGCAGGTAAATGGAAACAGAATAAAATACAAGTGGTCAAAGGTAGATTGTGCCAAACTAACCTAATGTTTTGTCAGTACAAGTGATTTTCTAAATAACAGAAAGGTTGTAGCATATGACATGGTGTCACATGAGAAATTTATTAGAAGATGGAGAGGAGTTCAAGAATGCGAAGACTGGTAAGGAACTAGCTGAATGGAAATGACAGTATTGTACTGAAAGGATGGAGGGAAGTTACTAGTAAGTTTTGGGACTGATCTTATATAAAAAGTCTTTTCATTAGTAACCTCAGCACAGAGAAGGGGAGTCTGCTAACATCTGGAGATGACCTAAAGTTGGAAGGTATTGCCAATGCAGGGGAGAACCAGAAAAATCACACAGGAAGAACAAGACGAACTTTAAAACTGGAATAATAGAAATGGGGAAATGTAATGGTATTAAGTGTCTGGTTGCAGTTAGGTATCAACATTTTTTTTGCCATGAACTGGAAGCTCCTCTGTTGGAAAGTATCAAGGACAAAACTCTGGGTGCACTGGTTATCAGTCACAGAATGACTGAGTTATCAAGTGTTCTTCAGGTCCAAAAACTTTTCAAATCTCTCTCCCAACCGTACAGTCAGTCCATTAAAAGATAACACCCAAAACCCCCTCTTCTCATACGTTTCCTGGTCCATCATGGCTACACCAGTCCAACCTTACTGAGAAACGTCATGTAGCAGTGAAAAGACAAACATGATTCTAGTATGGTCAGGGGAGGCACCTCCAAGCAGAGGCAGGGAAGATCTTGAGAAGACTTAATCTGAGCACTCTAGGCAATTCTGACCATCCACATTCGAGTAACATGAATTCAAAGGGAACAGGGGCAGAGAACAGCTTATCATATGAGTGGAGGCTGAAACAGATGTGGCTTTAGTCTGGCAGAATGAAGGCAGAGAGGGGATGCTACAGCACTGCATAAATTCTGCAGATAAAAACCAGGGGGAGAGAGTTAGGAGGCAACTTTGGCACAAGAGCACACGAGCGTAAACTGGTCAGGAACAGATGCAGATCGGAATTTAGATGAAGATTTCTCATCAGATCGGGATTCTGGAACAGCTTTGAGAATCTCTGGGAAAAAAACCTAAGAGGAGCTTGAAGATGGAGAGTGATCAGCTTACAACATGGTTGCCTGCAACAGCAGAGGATGGGTTTGGGTGACATAGGAGTTACATCCAGGTCCATGTTCCTAAAAAAAAAGAGTACTTAATTTCTGTCCACAACTTCATACACTGACATCAGAAGTGCTAAGCTACTGCCCACTTGGAGGGAAATTTGCAGCTCTGCCCTAAGAGAGGCTGGGGACACATCAAGGAAGCTCCCCACTTCTTCCATCTTCATTCATCACAGACAGCCACACACTGGCACAGTTTCTGCTGTCCTGTGCTAAGACAGGCATGACAAGTCTGAGCTCGTAGTGTTAAACTCCACCTGTGAAAGCTTGGGCTGATCGCTCCCCACTGGCTCTCATTGGTGTATTGAGGGCATAAAGGAATCATTAGCTCACTTGTTTCTGTTCAATGAATAATCATTTGCATAAGAGAGACTTCGGAGGGCTGCACAAACACAACAGATTCCCAAAATAACTCTGGAGAGACAATGGCAGTTCATTACTGCAGCTCTCCCTGCTCTATAGGGACCCACCAGGCTTGCTCACTCACTTGTCTAAATCCTCTCGTGCTACAGCCATGTGATAGGCAGTCTCGAGTGTCAGGACCCCCTGGAAGAGCTGCAATGCAAGGGGCAGATTTGTCTCCACGTTCTCGATGGCGTAGAGCGCCGAGCACACGCAGTCAGAGGCTGCCTCGTGCAGGTTGGACGAGGTCTTGTCCTGTTGCTGTAAGACACAAGAGGAGGAAGTGAGCCTGGCGATTATACAGTAAGTGAGATGGCACCTAAAGACACTAAGACACTTCTGTCCCAAAATCCTTCACCATGTTTCAATGCATGAAAGCCCCACCCCTACACCACCTCCTCTGCTGTCTCTTCACTGTCTGCTGCTGCACCTCCTTTGGGTCTTGAGATCTCACTAATGTCCTTTTAAAACTTCTCTATGGGGCACACAAGCAAAGGAGAAACAGAACAATGGGAATCTCCAGCCTGCGGTACTTCAGCAGCTTGGAAACATTTTGCTGGTCTGTTCTCTTGGGTGTGAAGGAGGAGAGATTTCTCACGTGCATGTCATATTTTTCATGGTGGTGGTTTAGGGAAGATGAGCAGATTTTGGGGTCCTGGCTGATAAACATACATGTTAACTGTACAAGTCTAATTTGACAGAGCATTAATGGCTCCCATAGAGCCAAGAGCAATTCAGAAAGGGGACGGGGCTGGCGTACTAAGACGAGAATAGACAGGAGAGAGATGAAAGGAACACCACCACCATGTATGCCTAGGGATGCTCCTTCATAAAAGGATCTCAAACCACTTGTCAAGTGTAAATTAAGCCTTATGATCCCATGTGATGAAGGTAGGGAAGGATGAAAAACTTGTGTTAATGCAATTAAAGGCTGAAGAGCCAAGCATTCAAAAATGATCAAAGTGGAAATGTTTCTCCTATAGTGTTAACTTGGACTTGTTGCATGGATCGAATATTGTCTCTTCTTTTTTCCAGTGTGAAATGGGAACTGTTATTTGCCTCCTCTATAGCGCACCACAAGTGCAAATAAAGGTTCCCATCTGACAGTGGAAAAAAGGACGAGCATTTTGGACCTTTTGCACAGATCCAGTATCAACACTGCAGTAGAACCCATTACGCTTTGGGAATTTCTTCCTTCCATGCACTCTGTTCTTCATTCTCACTGTTAGATTCATTCTAGAAGGGTGTTATTTATTCTTTCTGTTTTACTAGTCCCTTTAGAGCTCCTATACTTATAAAGACCATACATCCCTGAAACAACTGTCCTACGCTGTCAAAAAAAGGACAGCTAAGCCCATGATCATCAGGAATAAAATATTGACCTAATGTTCATAACTTAAGAGCATGAAACCAATTTTGCTTCTTCGCTGCGGGTTACAAAATGGGCTAAGTTTGAACTTTCTGAGCTTTGAAAGTTAAAGTGCAAATACTTTAAATCCCAGGGGTAGCAGGAAACTTATTCCAGATATTTCCATAATGTAATGAAACGCTGAGGAGGGTCAGCTCAAAGCTCTGTACAAGAGCTCAACTCTGAGCAGAGATCACACACCACAGATTTTGGATGAAAAACTATTTTGCATGAATAAGTTTTGAGCAACTGAAGAAAATAAACTGGAATAAAACCAGATTTTAAACCTGAACTACTGTAATCGCTGACCAGAACTCCTAGAACAGACATTTTATAGATGGGTAACACTGAGGTCAAAGGTACTCAAGATCACAAAACATCAGTGGCAGAAACCAGCACAGAATGCTAGTACCTGGCTCCCAGCAGACAAAGCACGCTTGTAATACAGGTTGAGGAAAATGATGAATAGTGAAGACAGCCAGGACAGGAGAAAGGGTATAAATAGAGGATTAAATTATTTTTAAAACTTCTTTTCAGAAGCACGGTCTGCCAGAAGAGTATAATAGGCTCTGCAAAGATTAAGAGATCTGTGGCAACATGACTGAAAAGCTTTCTGCAAGACAGAACCTCTCTATGCTCACTTCAGTCCGGTCTTGAACCAACCTGCTGTACATGGAAATTGTGTCCACCTGTACTTCCCCCAGATACCTGCTCATCCCTGCCTGATGCCAGAACTACTGGGACCCAAGCAATGATGAATAAGGGATTTCCTGCAGTCGGACAGTTGAGAATAGTGCAGTCAAAACTAAGTAAGGCCAGTGGGCCAGAAGCTTCTTTTCTAGTCTTAATTAAAGTATGCACATAGCCAAGGTTCAGGTACTTCAAATGCCACTTGAGGACCAGTTAGCGGTTTTCATCACTGAGCACCTCTTTTCCTATCTGAACAGTCAGTGGTTGGGGGAGATGATAGGATGGGGACCCTGAAGTAGAAAAGTGACTCCCCTCTTCCCGAGGAAGCAGTCACACTGGAGAAGGTCATGAATTTGCTTTCTGAAGGTCTGCCAGGACCTCTGACCTGTGGTCTTCATCTAGTAGAGAGCTTGGTAATCTCTCTGGCTCAGATGACAAGAGTTCTGTTTGTGTGGCTCCCCTCCAAGTCAACTTCACACTTCAGTCCAGGAGAGAAGTTTCCTTCTCAGTGTTGTGAACTAAAATACTTTTGCTGGCCACTTCTCTCTCAAAGGAGGAAGGACTGCAAGACTAAAACCAACATCTTCTGCCACCGCATTGGGGACAAACTCCACCCTATATTCCATTTAAACATGGCTTTTTACATTTGCCTGCAAGTTCTCTGATCCAGACCTGAACAGAGTCAAGCTGAAAAGTCACCTAGAACTTATGCGCACAAAATGTTCTCCTGAACTCTGGGTGTCATGTCAGATTAGTGACAGCACCAGTTTGTCCCAAAGAAGTTGGATTGTGACCTCAGGACACAGCCAGTGGGCAGATAAAGCACCTTCTTAAAAATAAAATACTTTTCTTTCATGCTTTAGTAGCTCCAATTACTGGGTATTAGTCAGGAGGGAACTACTTGACTTTTCAAGTGCCACTATGGAGCAGTGTGTAAGGGAAGGCGAGTGTGTCTGACCTCTGGGAGGCCCAACCAGAACTAGATTCTAGGTATGAAAGATCCCTGCCCTATGCTGCCAGTCCTTAGCTGCCCCAGCAAGCTGAATGCCAGGAGGGGATTGAGAAACTAAATTCTGGGGAAGAACAGGCCTGGACTTGATTACACCTAGCACTGATAAGGTAAGCAGAGAGTCTTATCATGGGCCTGCTTTAGGGCAAAGGGACAGGGTGTGAGATTCTCTGCACTGGAGGGAGGGACAGGCTAGGCCAAGTACTTGAGACAGGGGGAAGAGGAACAAACTAGTCTTCCGAGAACGATGGGACGCAACAGTTAGGATAGGTCTGTAAAAGGCCTTGTGGGATTCCAACAGGAGCGTTGGGTTCGAGGGCTGCCACATTCCTACTGTCATTCCCACAGGGAACCAACGCAGAGCCTTTCAACAAAAAGAGCAAACACTCACCAGCACTTCGAAGAGGAGCGATAACAGCTTGCTGTTGGCCATGAAGTTGCTGTCCAGAACTCCCAGGTTAAACCAACTCCCAAGGCAGCGAAAGGTCTTGATGAGCATCTTCTCATCATTGCCTGTCTTCTCCACACAGGTCATCTAGGGGACGAGGAGCAGGGAGAAGGAACGGTTTGGTGACCAAAGATTACCACTTAACTTCACAGCTATAACGTAGTTCTGGAGACCACAAGCTATGAGGGTTTGTGCTGTGCTGCTTCAAGCTTTCTTTGCAGGGTCTCTGGGTCTCGAAACAAATTTTCCCCAGAGTTGACATACTGTTCCATAGTACTTCCTGACCCCCTGCCCTTCCCCCTCAAACCATCCCCTCAAGAGGTGAAAATGCACAGAAAGACAAACAGCCTACCATGCCCTGAAGGTCACTCTGGGACTGAAACATGCCCAGGAAAGTACACAGCTTACAGCACACCCCCAGCCCTGCCTAAATAGGCCAGGCGGTACTCCATGTGATCCAAAGCACATCTATTGACTTCAACGGTTATGACAGCCCGTGGTGAGAAATGCAGTCTGGAAGGATTGCTGCCATTTGCCGCACATCAGTTTCCTGCAGGGGCCTGTCTCAAAGACTGATGAAGCCCAGACCCTAATGAGCTTCATACATAGAAAAGCCTCAACTGAGCCTAATTTCAAGAGGAGATTTTCCGATATTCTGCATTAAAAAAAATAGCCCTGTTACTATGGTCTCTGTGAAGGTGCTGGAAGGTAAAATACCCATCTTGCAGGCCAAGCTGACAGCAGTCAGTACACTTAATTCATTCTGTAAGACACAAGAATTTCAGTTGTGGCAGTGGCTGGGAGCCTACAGCCCCAGGGAAGATAGGAGGAGAGGTGGGTTCTTCTTATGATCTTCAGCAATCGCTTGGCAAGATTTGCCAGTACCTTGATCCAAAGAAGCCCTTACTGCGCTAAGAGGAACGGAGAGAACATGAGGGCAGTCAGAGCCTGAGAGAACCCCTTGGTCTACCCCCCGACTGCAGGGAGAATGGCACCTATGGTTTCACTGCACCCCTTAAAAGCCCAAGTGCTCCAGCAGGGTCTAAGCCACCCTGTACTGCAAAACTCCAATGCATTTTTTGCTTAACTTACATATAATGAATTTACCATTTAATCAATCCCCTGTTCCCTTTTTTTGGACTCCTTAGGTTGTCAATTAAAATGCTCACTGTGGAATTCAAAAAGGAAACCTGAAAGGGATGCAATGAGATCCTGCACAGCGCAAGTCTTTAATATATGCTGTGTGCGCTGGTGTAGAGAAAACACATAGGTACAATCTGTCTAGCAAAGCAAGCAAATGACAGCCTGACCCAAGAAGCCACCACCTCTCAGCAGACTTAAATGCAGATGGACCGTCAACCGAACTGCCAGAGAACGGCGTCTGTGCTGAGGTCATGAAGCTCAGCGGGACCATTGCAAAGGAACGTGTTCAACGGCGTAATTTATTTCAGCAGGCCTGGCTATGACCCTGTATGTTGAAGCATCAGCTTCAGACACTCAAAGCAAGCTCCCTCTGCCACCTCCGACAAGGCATCAGCAGTCAGTGCAAAGCGAACTTGCATGTCTAACCAATGTAACAACTCTCCTCTCTCCATCGCTTCACTGAGAAAGCGTTCTGGGGGGTGAAGGGGAAGAAATGAAACAGATGTATTTAAGGCAACATCTCTACAGGCCTGAGAAAGGGAAATGGAAACGCTTTTAAACCAGACTGGAATTTAAAACAAGTCCATTTTAGAAGAGGCTGTCCAGCTTTCTGCATCAGGACTAAAGTACCTAGTAAAATTAGGAACGGGGTCTCCATGATCAATCATGCACATGCAGGTATATTATACTTTTGGAAGAGAAGGGAGAGAGTCCCCCTTACTCTGAGGCATGAGACATTAGTCAAGCTTAGATGGAGGATACCAAACTTGACAGATGAGCAGTCAAATTATAATCCCTAGCACCCCCAGACTTCCTTATCTTGGCACTATCTGAATAATGACCAAAAGTCATGTCAATGCTTGACCCTGGACAAACAACACGTCAAGGAAATTAAACCATGTGTAAGTACTTGCAATGCTGATACTACAATTCCAGCTTCCCAGAGTCATCATGCATAAAAAGCAAGATAGAAACCAGTGACGTTCTTTGCTAAGATTTCTAGTCAACGCCAGCTTTGAACTCTGAACTGAGCATAAATTGTCAAGGAGCTCTACTTCCCTTCATCCTCCTCCCCTGAAAAAGGAGACAACTTCAAAAGCAGCTAGTGGAAAATCAAAAGTGAGAAATTATGGGCAAGCCATCTAATTAAGGCTGAGTGCAGTGCTATGTCATACCACAGAAAGGGTGCAGACCTAATTTTATCTGACATCTTCCCTGATGATCTAGAAGAGATAACTAAACTTGTATGTTCAACTAACTGATGGATCTAAGTGCTTGAGAATGAAGAGTGCGTGCATGAAAGGATAGAGACTGAATTTACAAGCAGCAGCGAGGAGAAATACAAAAGTACTTAGTCTGAAAAAAACAACAACACATGAATAGAAAATAAAATAAGATTTAAAGTGGGCTAGTCTACACACAGGGAAAATAACCCCCATTACAGCTATTCACTGGAATGGGATACAAAAAGCCAATTAGAGACCATCATGAGCTGATACAAGACCCCAGAGCAGATGAGCTTGTGAAAAAAGACTGCAGAGAACAAGGAAAAATACTATGCGAGCTGGGGCTATCTTTGGACAGAGATAGACTATCACACAGCAGGGATGTGATAACCCCTCACATACAGAACATTATGCCCCATTTCTGAGCAATTCAGCACCAGAAAGATGCAAACAAGCCAGGGAGGGGATGCAGGAAAGAGCTACCACAAAAGAGGCAATAAATGTCAGGGGAGTTGATTCACAAGGAAAAGTTCAAAAACCTGGTTAGGCCCGACTACAGAATGACTAAGTATATGGAGTAAAACACCAAGGCCAGAGGGGAATTTACGTTTTAATGGTGAGGTCAAGGTGACAGAGTTATTCCCAAGGGAAGCAGTGGAAGGCCAGTCACTGGAGTCGATTAAAACAGGACTAATGACACAACGGGGGAACAATCCTGCATTAAGGCAGAGATGGATTTAAGGGAGAAAGAACTAAGATCCGCTCCCTCTTCAAAAGAGCTATGATTCAATTAACTAAGGAACTGAAGCAAGAAGGAAAGCAGCTGGAAGACAGGAGTGCCGAGAGAGCAAACAGATACAGAGGTGAAGGGCACCAAGGCAGAGAAAGGATGGAGGGGCAAAGCACAGAGATAATTTCTGTGACTGGATATTATAATTAAGTATACCAAAGTTGGATTCCATCTGGAGTTCTGTGACATTAGCCAAATGCTTGGTGGAATTACAGTCCTATTATGCACAGCTGGGGGCACATTAAGTTTCTCATTTAAATAGGCAACGTGAAATAGTAAAAATTAATGAGGAGCTCTGTGCGTTAAGGCACATTGGGTAGTATTTCAATACATCTCAATCCTTACACCCATAGTTCTAAATCTTTCTGGCATCACAGCACCCTCCCTCAAGTTTTTGAAATTCTGCAGCACTCTGGAGAAGCTAGAATCTAGCCAGTGGTAGGACATCTCTACCATGGGCTACTTCTTCCACCGTATACTCCCTCCTCTCCCTGGTCTGTCCCTGAAAGGGCAAGTGCAGTCCCCACTGCTGTGACTGCCTCTCTGGTAACTCGTGTGCTGGTGACTGGTACCATGCGCACCCGCAACCTGTCTTTCTGGCCCCAGCTGCATGGAAGCACTGTTGGGCGGATAAGCTGCTATATCCATCTGTGTGCATGCACAGCAGAACACGCTGCATGGGGGTAGCTGGGGCAGGGGCTACGGGGAGGCAGAGAGCAGCTGTGGGTGCCCAGCACTAGACAGAAGGAGAAAAGATAGATCACTTTTCTCCTGGCACAGACCCTGGGTGTTGAGAATCAACCTTAAAAACCCATGTCTTATTTAATACAAATGCCTCCTGGTTTTGGTGCCCACAAGCAGTTAGCTCCATGAGCAGCCTGGATTCTCAGAGAATATCCAGGGAGAAAGTACCAAAAAAAGTCACTTCCTCCTCCTATCTTTTTCTTTGCTGTTGCCACCCTATCACCATTCAGCTGAACACAAAAAGACAGCGTTGAGAACCAATAGCTCTAGCTCAATGCATAAGGGGGCTTGGATAATTTCAGCAAGACTCTGTGGCAAAAATAAAAGACAGCCCCTTGCATACACAAACCCCCAAGTGCTTTTCCCCCAGTGAACTGGTGCATCTTATCCTAGAACAATGCTAAAGGTTCACTCTTGCCCAGTCATCATCCAGCAGTCTGAGTTCTCTGCCATCTTTTCTGAATTTAATGTTCACGAGATATGCTGGAGAGACGGCCCAGGTGGTTGTAGGCCCCTATTTAAGAACAGAGCAGGAAAGTGGGACAGCAAGCTTCCTTCCCAACAGTGACCTTAATGGATCTCAACCTGGAGAGACCAGCTGCCCTTAAGGATAAGGTAGGTAAAGGCAAGGCTCCAGTACCAGATCTTGGATTACTGCTTACAGTAGGGCACCAGCTAGAGACTTTCATCTATTAAGGGTTGGTTTGCAAGACTCCTGGCTCCTAGTAGCTGCTAGATACATTTTGATTGTTCCCAAGCTGGGCTAGCTCTCTAAGGGGAAAAAGCCATTGGATGAGGCTACCAGAACAGGTGTGGGGTGTTTAACAGTTGTTGTGCTTGCCCCATGCCTCCATTCCACGTGGTCAGCTTACCAACAGAGAGACCACAGTGCTAGAGTAGTAAGCCAGGTCTTCGATGATTTCAGTACGGCGGTTGGCTCCAATGCGTAACGATCGGCTGTGAACCTCCTCGGGCAGCACCGTGAGGATCTCCAGCAGAAAAGGCAGTGATGTCACATCATTGCTATACCTGAAGCACAGACAGAGAGACAATGTGATAAGGTAGGAAAAATAAAGGGGCTCTCAAAACATACACAAAACATCTGTTATTGCTGCTGCCATGCTACTTTAGCACCAGAAGGAGAGATGATGGCATCTGAAATCCAAGAAGACTCAGGGCAGAGATGTCCCAAAGCATTTCATCTGGATGCGTCTCACAAACGAGCGACAGGCTATTTAAAAAAGTGCATGTTACAGCCCTCGTAAGACAGTAAGAGCTGCCTATCAAGGAAGGTGGCAAAAATCCCCTTGTTCTACAAATGCAAAAAAATCTAACCACGTTATGCAGACAGGCTGAATCACAAACATGCACTCTTCTCCCAAAACTGACAATATACTGTTCACCCACACTATGCTGGCTTTGTCCAGAACAGAGCAATCTTAGCAGGACAGCTACAGCAATCTATATTAGCGTGATGTGCTTGCGCTGGCCTCATGCTAGACTACAGGGCAATCCTGCGTAGGGTGCCAAGTTGCGCAGTGGCAGTACTCAGCCCTAGTAGGAAGTGAAAGGAATGCCTCATGCTCGAACAGTGCAGCCTGTAAAAAAAAAAAAGTGTTAAAAGACCCGAGCATCCTATTCAGACCTGCATCAGAAAGATAAAGGTAGGTACAAGAAGAAGAAAGGGAATGAAAACAACAAAAACAGGTGAAGAAGTCATCAAGGCTTAAAGACAGGAAAGACCCCCACCCACCCCCAAAATGTGCCGTGACTTTCAGATATTTCTAAAACTGACTTGCCTACTTCTTTCTTTATAATCCAAAAGCCACTTTAAAATCACTGATCTGTCACAAAAATAAGTTTCCAATTTTGTGACCTTCTTGAACCTTTGCTGTTTACTGTAGTTGTACATGCCAATACAATTCCCCTTCTTTTTGTATTATTTTTAGGTGAAGCTTATATTCTTTGCGCCATGCCTGGATCCATTTGTAGGTTCACATGATTTTTTCAGCCACAGATATAATTACTTACTTTTCAACCAGTGTCTGTACGCAGCCTTTCCAAGATGCCATCTGCAAGGCAAGGTCTGCTATTGCTAAAGCAAGCTGAAAATGAGAGAGAGAGAGAGAGAAAACACAACTAAAGGTTAGTGTTTGAAACAAGAGGTCAAATGTTCATGCTGAAAAGCAGGTGGGAGGCAGCAGGGGCTGGGGGGTGGAAGGGAGACTTTCAGCTTCTACTCAAGAACACTGGAAGAAAATGGTAAAAAGCCCTGAGCCTTCAGTGAAGTACATCTAAACCACTCAGGTCCTGTTTGCAATATGCTACTTACTGGCTATATGAGCAGCCCCTTTGGAAGGATGAGGGAGCTGCGCTGCTAAACACAGCTTCTCATCCCTGGCTAAGAAATCTACTGTGACAACAGCATGGAACCTCTCTCCTGCATTCAACTAGAGCATTTGCCTGGCAGAAACTCCTGTGGCACAACTATCACCTGTAATCCAAGTGCTAGGCAGATCATTTATCCCCAGGCAAAGTGACTCACCTCTACCAGGCTAAAGAGTCAGAGCTGAACCAACACCCATCTTACCTTCTCAGCCCTCTCACTCACTGACAAGCCTGCATCTCCTCTACAACAGCAAGCCCTCTCAAGTTGGCCAGCCTAGAGACGCACCCTGCCCTAGAAAGGTAAGGCACCTTCTCTTTAAATGCTGCCAGGTTATGTTTAGTTTAGTAGGGATGTGGCCCACGGTTCCTCAGCTGTGAACAACTTTAGGCACAACCTTGCTACTACAGAAGTCAGCTGCAGAATGCCCATCAACTTCTATGCTAGAAACTGCTTCAGACTGAGTTATGACCGGAACAGAGGCTGATTTGGGCTACCCAGTGTTGCAGTGGCAAGCCCTCTGCAGATGTCATGCAGAAGAGAGAAGTTCAAGACATGTAGGAACAGCCAGAGACGGACACATCCCTGCAGATGCAGTAGCACCTCCCTGCAGAGGTCCTCCCAGTCAGCTGGGGAACAGTGAAGGGCAAGTTAGCATTTTGTTTTCATAGCTGCGCAGAGAAAAAAAAACACAAATCCGTGGCTCGCTGCTCCTCTTCCCACCCTCTCAAAGCAGCACAGACGGGGGTAAAGAGAGTCAATTTATTAACTTACTGACATGCTGACCTACAGACAAGAACGAATGAGCTCGTGTTTATAGACTGCTGTGACAGGGACTACCAGGCACGGATTTCCTTTTTTAAATTGCTCTCATTCAACAGTAAAGGAAGAAAGAATGCTCCCATTCTCAAACCAAGAGCAAAAAGGCTTTCCCTGGCTATGTAAATATGATGCATAGGTTTCCCCTATGAAAGGCAAACCTTAATTGGCAGGAATAGTTTTAGAAGGGCAGTGAGGAAACCTTACAACAGGTTTACAATGAACGCCTAGTGCAGGCTGAATTATTTAGCTGCATTACTAAAAGCTGGCATGCATTCCCTCTACTTACAGCTGTCGTGCAAGGTTCTCCTTTCCCTCCCTAACAGGATAAGCAATGAAGGACTTACCTGAGTTACAATGACAGGTGAGAGGTCTTTCAAGTTCTGTATGTGGGACAGCAAAGAGTCCCGTAAAGAAGCATGTGAGTCTGTGGGGAGTTCGTAAAATGAAGTTTGGATCTTCATCTTCATGGTCTGTGCTGCAAAGTAGCACGATTCCACATCCTGACGGATCTGTAGCAACTGGTCTGAGATCTCCCATGCGTGAACCTAAAAAAGGCAAGTCAGCACAAGGTCAACTGGGAGAAGAGCACTAGGAGTAGAACTGAAATGAGTTAAATATTTAAAATCAGCAGTTAAACAAAGTGGGCTTTTCCCAACATGAAGCTCCCAGTTTGTCCAAGAATCCAGAATTTCACTTTCCAGAAACAATGCTAGGACTAGCCAGTCCACCGCTTCAAAAAACCAGTCAGCCCCCACAACACATTTCCTCAATTTTTACACGCAGCTAATTACCAAATGTACCCAAATAGTTTCCAGGTAAGTTAAATCATTTTATGGTAGAGAGAAAATTAGCTATGGAAACGTTTCCTTCTCATGCATTACCCTTAGGTCTACAATACTATCAGTCTAATTTTAATAACTTACATGGTGGGGGAATGTGGGGGAATGTTGAGGAGAAAAAGCAATATTTAAAAAAAGTTTAATAACTGCCTTCTGCACATACTTCTTATCTATGATGCACTGCTATACGGGAGCTGGAATGGGAAGGGTTATTTATCTTATTTCTTTCCAGCCAACATTTTCAGACAGGCTACATCTCCCAGAAGCTTCATAGCCTGCTGCAAATGAGTGGGTGCCTTTTGAGAATAACAGATTCTTGGAACTGAGGGCCACGGTGACAAAAGCAGGGTCTGAATTCCCGTCCATCATGAACATCTTGTTTCAAGCTCAGACTCACAAACCAGGCTGTTTCAGACTAACCAAGAGTAAGAGGCAGTACAGCCTACAGATGGGACATGGCAGAAGATGCAGACCCGTCAAGGAATTGTCATTTATACCACCCTGAGCATCATCTCACCAAACCACACGCATGAGACGCATTAAAGCAGGAGAATAAAAGTTACTTTGGCTTGTGCTGCGGCAACACGATTCAGACTCCAATCACAATCTAGGCCGCACTCTGCTGGCCCCATATACAAATACAGAAGAGGAGAAGGTTCTTAACCAGTTATTGTCAACCAGGATGTCGGGGCCCCTGGATCTTTGAAGGGTGCCGCGAGGTGTGAGGAAATAAGCAGATAAGCTTGAACTCAGGTTTGCCGCTGCCTGGATGGACCCCCATTCCCAGTGCCTGGTCCCGACACACAGAAGCAGACACTGTCATGCATAAATTTGTTTTTGCAACGGGATGCCACTCAATTCACAGCAGTTTTGGAAGGGTGCCTCGAGTCCAAAAAGGTTGAGAACCACTTATCTAAAGTGTCATTTAAGGCAAGATTCACATGAGAGCAACAAACAAGGAGGGGAAGAAGGACAAAGGAAAACAAATTAACAACTGAGCCAGTTCCTGTACTTTATTAAACCATAGCTTCTCCTATGTTATCCCTGTTTCTTATCCCAAGGAGCATAGGGAGGCTGGTTCCTTCTGTTTAGGTGTGATTGCACACCAGAGATTTCTCATTACCCATGGGTGCCGACTGCTGGGATCAGGCCATGATGACCTTGTTTTCCTTTCCACTGAAACAGGGAGATTTTTGTTCCACAAAGTGCAAGTTTTAACCCCAGGCAACATAGGTAGCTTCCTGGGAAATCAGCTCAGGAAAACACCAGCACACCCCCTGCCACCACCGTCTCCCCAGAAGAAAAGGCTTAGCAGTGAGATGGGAAATCAGAAGATAGAGATGGGGAAAGAAGGGAAGGAGCCCTGCAGCTCTGCTAGAATACAGAATTGGTGCTTAGCAGAGATGCTTAGCGTGTCAATACAGGTATCCGTCTAGCAGAATGGGGGACATACCCGACGCGCATCCTCACGGTGGGGTAAGAAGATACCAAGGAAGGCCCTTCGTTTTATGGCAGATATGTGTCATGGGTGACTCCACATTAAGGGGACTAGACAGATCACACAGCAAGGAACAAAGAGACAACAGGATAGGGCACAGTGTCACCAGATGAAAAACGGCATGTAACAGCAAGTCTGGGCAGCTAAAGTCACCCGGCAAATCTCCCAACACCACACTGGAGCCAGTCATTTGGCATCAGATGACAGCAGTTTTTAGAGATCTTGAGACGGAGCTGAAGAAAAGTCCCATGTTGTTGAAGCTTTTTCTGGCCCCAGAAAGAAGGGAGAATAATCCCAGAAGTAAAGAGCTGTACAACCAGGATAGAGATGAAGTCTCTAGTTTTATGCTTCAGGGATGTGTTTGGTAGCCGTGCTGGTCCGAGACAAAAAGAAATGCAAAACTCTAGAACTCTTGGTTCAGGGATGAGACCTTTTATTAAACTAAGAAATCACAAAAAATTGCACCGAACCACATTACAGGGAGAAGAGGGCTATGCAAAAGGAACGGCCTGGTCTGCATCTCATGGGCGAGGAGCTGATCTTCTCAACTGGAGCAGCCAGGAGGCACCCAACTAGCACCCGCCCCCCAGCACTGCTAAGACACTAAATGCAGCCCCAACTTAAACTCAAGCGTCCCAAGCAAACTGAGCCGACATGACACAGAACAAGAAGATTTTTCCAATTACTTATCGCCCGATTTGAGGAGTCTGGGTAACGAGCAAAAAAAATCCAATCGGATGTTCTCACTGATCTGAAAAATAATGACAAAACTGGCAATGCTGAAACCTGGCGGGATGATTCACATGGCTGAAATGTTGAAGTCACTGGGGATAGTATGCCAACGAAGGAGACAAAGAGAAGAGTTGGTGAGACATGGCACTAAAGGCACCTTTCTCTGCATGAGGGGGCCTGACAGCTGAAAGGCAGGACCTGCCACGTATGTGGCTCAGTGTGCTAAACTAACTAACCCTGGTGCTGCTGCTGGGGTTGTCTGCAGACCATCAAGTCAATCCAGAACACAGGATGAGATAACAGCTAAGACACTTCACTGAAGTTTGGGGAGGAGAACTGCGCTCTTTTGGGGACTTTACTTTGGAAAAACCTAAGCTGGGAGTTTTACGCAGCAAAGACGAGATTAGATTTTCTACAAATGTACAGGAGATCATCAATGTTGCACTCAAAAGCTAACGCTCTTTAGGACCTCGTTATGGCATAAAGACCATTCAAAGCACTGGATGTGAAGATGGCAGTTCCCTGCCTAGGGAGCAGTGACCACAACTTAATTCTACTCTTCACAGTCAAACAGACAACAGTGCAAACCAACAACAGACATACACTTGGGGTTTTGAGAGGGCTCATTTCCCAAAGCGGAGGAAAATTCTGAGTACAATCAACTGGAAGGAACAATTAAGAGGACAAAAAGTGGGTGTTTTAAAACAGAAGCTTATTAGAGGGCCCAAGGGTGAGGTTTCCTTAATTCACAGGGAACACTGAGCAAACGCACACAATGTTTTAACCACAGAGTTAAAGGGCCAGTTATAAATTTACAACAAAGAGAAAAGAGGAGAGCACTGCATAGCACCAATGCAAATCACAAGTGATAAAGTGCAGACTATTGATAGGGAATGCTACAGAAAAAGTAAAATTGCGGCTGGCAGGACTAACAGCGAGCAAGTTTGTAAGCTTATCAGGGGTCAAAGGCATCCCAAGCATTGGTAGAGATCCATTATTAGATGGAGATGGTAAAACCATTAATAATGAAGGGGCAGAATTTTTCCAAATATCTAAGAGAACTATTTATTGAGTGAAGCAGGATGGATTAACTCAAATGACACGAGAATGCAGCAAGTACTTTCCAGACCATTTGCAACTGAAGAGGATGTTAACCAGCCTCCTCTAAAGACAAACTTTTTGAAAGTAGCAGGCCGGGATAACCTGAACTCAAGAATTCAAGGGCTGGCTCGAGATGTCTGGCCCGCTCATGTTTAATAAATCTTGGAATTACAGAGAATTTCCAGGAGACCGGAACAGTAAACACAGGCACAAAATTAGCAAAAGGACAATTAGGGGGTCCAAGCTCAGATGACAATCGCAAACCTGGGCAAAATAAAAGCCAATTTGATTGCTAAAGATGGCAAGAACCAGAATATAATTAATGCCAGCTATTGCAGATTACACGGACAGCGCAGGCAGGCCAGGTTTTAAGTCTGCCCACGGCTCGAGGCCTTCCCTGTTTGGAAACACTTGATGCCCAAAAACTTGTCCGATAGCTCTCCCTTGCCCTAGCCTCAGCCTCTTTCCTTTTCATACACATACTGCATTGGGTGTTAGAATGGTCTATTTTGCGCCATAAGCCCCAAGTTTCCAAACCTGGCTGCCTCAACCTAGGTTTCTAAACCCAAATTAAAGCACCTAAATAAATGATCTGCAAGCTGAATGCCTACGCTCCCATGAGCTTCAAAAAAGCAGAGGCATTTGCCATTATATTACCATACTTTCCTGCATAATGCATCCTAAAATAACTTATGCAGTTTGCTTTTTGTAAAGCAGAAGGAATTGCAAAAAGATCTTTCCTTGTAGAAAGTAACTAAGTAGCAGCTAGGGAGCCTGCTGGTTTGTCTGCTCCCTGCAAGTCCCATGCTGATTTAACTGCCCTTACCATAATTATCACATATAACGTGCACTACAATTTCTGGCAGGTGATTTTTTGGAGGAAGAGCTCACAAGACAATATGGTAGTAACAAAAAAGTTAGCATCACAGACTGTTAGGCAGACATCTGTGCAACTATCCTATGGAACAGCATGTGACACACTATTATGCAATTAGTGCTCTTTTGTAACAATGTATTTCAGCTTTGCAGTTACACAAGATCTCCATGTGCTGCAGGTGCCTGAAAGAACTTGGCCTTCCCGACCGACACACACATGTGGGTATCTGGCAGGGCCCATTAGATTCATCTTTTCAGTTACAAGCACTCCCTCCACAGAAAGTCTTAATATTAGAGATCTCAGGCCAGAAGCACTTAAAATAATTTTTTTAATCCTACTCTCCTGGTAGCTTTTAGCATTGCAGACATACTAGGAGTACATGATAAAAATAAAATTCAGGCTGTTGCAATATAGCCCGACTGCTACTCTTTGGGACGATTAAACAATATTGAATCAAACTACACGCTGGTTTGGAAAAAAGATGCTTGAACCAGTGGC